TTAGTGATCCCTTATCATCATCACCATCTTTACTACAGTACTATTACTGTCTCTTATACACATCTGAGAAAATCATAAAGATCTTGCAATAACTTTATCAGCATGCATAAAAAGAATGCGCTGATTTTTCCCATGTCCATTACCCGCAGGTTACCTGTGGACAACTGCGTAATACAAAATGTGCTGCCTGTGCCTGGTACTCTATATACATAATGCAAAAAACAGTTCACACGCTGCAAAGGTCTTATCTGAAATTTTATTAAGGGGCCTAGGCGGAGAAGATACTTTAGTGAATTCATCGTAAAAAGGAAAATTCATGAATATTCTATAGAATCCAGAATGATTGTACTGTATATATAATTATCTAAAATTATACATACGCTTATCTTGCATATACACTAATAGGTATATCTACCATTATACATAAATATTAATAGCGATAACTGTTCAACCTTCAGAACATCTGGTGATCATTGAAAAGAAAATGCACTTGTTGATTCAAATACACCTTGAGCCCTACTCAAGACTAGCTTATTCAAAGTTTCCTTAACAATTGAAAAAAAATCTTAGAGCCTTATTATATATGCATATTTTTATGCATATATATATATAATATATTTATATTTTTTTAGGACTTTTATAGGATTTTATTCGTAGAAAAGCTACAGGGTAGCCTACGATGTTCCATCATGTCCTCTTATTTAAACACTGTATATGTACCTTTGATAATTTATATTATATTTATTCAACAGTGTTAATGGCTAACTCCCTTCAATATCATATATATATATATATAGATATCCAAATAAATATAGAGTTGCTGCATAGACAGATTTGTAATTTGTATATATGTAATAAGAAGTCAAACAAAGTTCAGTATCTGTCTCAAAATAAAATATTTATTGTACTAGTACTTTCGACCATAGGTCATCATCAGGTACTGAGTACCTGATGATGACCTATGGTCGAAAGTACTAGTACAATAATATACATACACACTTCAAATATATACATTTATTTGCATATAAAGTATGTACACTTATACCTCTATATATATATATATATAAGCACTTTTCCCTTTCCGGTTATGAAGCGCAAGCCAAGCCTAAAAAATTCAGGAAAACAATGGTAGGCATAAAATCAATCATTATTCAGGAACCCGAAGCATCACAATAGTACAGTCACACAAACAACAAAGACAAATAAACAGATTACAACAATAAAAACACAAAAGGAAAAAGCAGCAAAAAGTGAATTAGGCAAACAAGTAAGTCTTGGGTGCACATTTAAAAAGATTAGGATCGGAGATATTTCCAAGGTCAGTTGGAAGATTATTCCAAAGTTTAGAATCTTAACAAGGAAATGAAAAACCCCCAATTCCCTTGTTGCAACGTAGTATAATGAAATGTACAGGTGAAGAGAAACATATTGTATGTGTTGTATACACTCATATACCTAATACACACATATAATCCACTTATAAACACACTTACATACACACTTACATAATAATAATAATAATAGTGAACATTTATAATGCGCCAGTATCCATCAAAGATGCTCATGGTGCATAACAGAATAGTAGAGTGGCTAAGGAAAAAATCGTGCACTTCTGGAAGAAAGCATGAAACTTCCCACAGTGATATTATGATACCTAAGGATCATTAAAAAAAATAGACCCCAAAAAATAAGCCGCTTAGTGGCCGCCATCTTGAAATTCAAATTGGCCACCAAAACATTGGATTTTTATCAATAATTTCATATCTACAGCACCTAACACTGTCATTTAAAGGTCTTTACCTATGTTTTCAATATCAGGGAGTATAATGCAGTGATCATAAATTATATCAGATGGCCGCCATATTTAATTTCAAGATGGCTGCCAAAATATTGTTATTTTTCTCATTATCTTCATATCAACAGTAACGTAACATAGTCAATCACACCTTTAACCATGTTTTTAATATCATAGAGTATCATATATATATATATATATATGTGTGTGTGTGTGTGTGTTTTTGATCTACTTGTTTATTATATGATGCAAAAACGCTTCTAGACAATCGAATACAAAATGTTTTATTCATGAATACAAAATGTTTTATTCGTGTATACATATACAACAGGTGGGCAAAGTGCGGCCGCGAAAATGAATTAAAAACCCTATGCGTGCGGCCTGCCAAGCAACATTGGCTAGAAAACATCTTATTGTTTACGGCCAGACGCCGATTATGTAAAAAAGTAACATTAAACTAAGAATAAAGTGGTGTAAAAGCAGTGCTTTGAGGATTTTGGAAACTCAATGGAAACATCAAAGTTTGGGTGCATTTCCATGCAGTTTGAGTGCATTTAGCACTGTTTCTGTCATTATTTGATTAGTTATACCACAATGCTACGCAGCAACATTGATACCATGTTACTTCATTATAATACAGGTAGGACTTCTAGAGTATTCTTTGGCAAACAGTATATCAACAAACATTATAAGGAAATTTTTTTTAAATTTGATAGGCTATTTCCGATACGATACATCACTTTCCATTAATTCGAGCTCTGTTTTCACCATTATTTAATTATATAAACAGAGTGCTACACACAAAGATTAATTATATATATATATATATATGTTATATATGCATATTTGAAAATGATATCTAGAAGTTTATTCGATATGTACGTGCACATGCACATACATACAAGATGGTCGTTGCCACTGCACTATTTACATATCAACATGCATTTACATTATATCGTACCCATATATACACATTTATATTTCCATGTATACACACATTTAAATACATACTTATATACACATACCCATACCTTCCTCAACCTGGATTCGAACCTATGACATTCAGCTGTCTGCCGATGCAAGACTGGGGTGTCATTTTCCGTTGTTTTGTGCTCTGTTGGCACCTACGGATCACAACTATCCTCTGCTAAATAATGTTAATAAACAATTAGGCACATACAGTATGTTATCTGGGAAAATTAAAACATGTTTATGCTAAGAAAATAATGTTGAAGGTTAAATCAAACATAATTGGTATTTTCATGATCCCTAGTTACCATATGTAAGAATCATATTATTATGGAAGAATAGTATAACTTAATTTTATAATTTAATTTGGTGTTCAGTATGTGTTCCATGTGTTTGATCCAATGACCGGGGTAGTAATGTGAAGCGCTTAGAGGCTTTGTGCATGAAACGCTATATAAGAACGACATATTATTACCAGCAGGAAAACGACTAGGTGAAAATTGGCCAATTTTTGCAAAAACGCAGAAGGTATAGCTTATAGTTTTTGTGAAATTTTGACATTTTCCAGATGTTTGTGTTCTGTAACACATACAGATAAAAAAATACTATCCATGTTAGCAAATGCCACTTTTGAAATCCTAGTTTTAGGCTTAGATAAGGAAAATATAGCAATATCTAATTGATTCCTTTTTAATTCTGACATATATAAAAACATTTGAATGCTTGGAATATTCTTTCATGAAGGTGGGCCAACCAGTGTGAGCAGATCAAAAGTAGCCTTCGACATAGCAAGATTGCATTAGTGCAAGAAAAGCATCAGAAAAACAGAAATATTACAAATATGGGATGTAAATATAAAGAAATGGTAAGTAAAAAGTGCTGAAATTGAGCAAATAATGTTTGAGGAGCTCGGAGGATGGATTCATCCTATTAATTGTTAATGTATATCATTCCGTCTTTTGCGTAAAGCCTTCGTCTTTGGGAAATCATTTAGATTGTTGATGAAGAGAAGAGGGTTATGTTTGTGCCTTGCTGTATAATCCTGATCTGACATTCTCCATTCTGAGTGTTCTAAAATCATTATCCATTATCTGCATGTTGTTTGGAATTACTTAGTCATCCCTTATCATCATCACCATCTTTACTACAGTACTATTATCACCATCATCATCATCATCAGTGGTGGATTCAAGGGGGAGGAGGTCCAGCCAGCCTGGGCCCGCCCTCTCCCACCAGAATTTTCAAAATTGAAAAAAATTGAGAAAAAAAATAAAATTCTGTTAAAATTTTGAGTCCAAGTGTGCCATTTCCAAACTAGAGGTGCCACAATCATAAGTGTTCTTACCTCTTTGGGCTCCATCTATTTCAAATTCCTGGATCCAATCATCACCACCACCACCATCATCAAATCAAAGTCATCATCACCACCATTATCATCATCATAATCATCAATTCTATTATAGATCTATGAAACACAGCCCTCAATACAATCTGGTTCTACACTAACTTGCAAATACAGTACAGTTAGCCCTCCAATTTGAGCTCACCTTTGGGACTTAAAAGTTCAGGGTGGTCTCGGGGTTCTGTCTCCAATTAGAGGGTTAGCTTTGTGTTAAAAGATTGACGATTGTCATTTGGTTCTTTGAAAAAGTGGTCTCAGATTCGAAGGGTCTCAAAATAAGAGGAGTGCCTCTTGAATTAGAGGGTGCACTGTAGAAATAATTGACAAACGCAAATATTTTTAATATTTTTATTTTATTTTTGAGCTTTTAAATTTTAACATAATTATAGTAGCACAATGAGAACAACTTAATCCATCATCTATGATAATGGAATTCTTCAATAACAATAAGTGATACAAATACTGAAAAATTAAATTATTTCAAATTTAACTTCTTCAAAAGATGGAAGCATTACCATTGATCATAATATTATATAGTACAGTATTACTGACACACCTGCATACCCAATGATGATCACAATGATTGAGCTATGGTGATCACACATGAGTCTATACTGCAATTAGTGATCAGAAAACATGAGCAACTGTGGTAACAGCATATGAGCAATTGTGACCAAAACATGAGCAACTTTGGTGACACCACATTAGCAACTGAGATCCCATCACACAAGCAACTGTGACCGGTAATCACAAGTACATCTGCAACTGCGATCAGGTGCAACTTTCATTACAGCACATGAGCAACTGTTATCAGTGAATATGAGCAACTGTGATCACAGCACATGAGTAACTGTTATCATTGAATATCAGTGACAGTGATCACAGCACAGTGGCAATAGTAATCACAGCCCATGAGTAACTACTGTATGATTACAGGAAAAATTGTGATCAAAACACATGCACAGCCATAATTTGATCACAGCATATGATCACAGTCACACAATACTCAGGTACACATACCTGAGCACACCCTTGTTGAGCAATTAAAGCATCATTTTAACTATCTACTTGAACTTTTAACAAATTTGTTAAAGAGATAACTGCAAGACAACCTTCCGAAAGTAAGGCCTAGAAATATCCCAGATACAATATATTTTGTGAACATGAAATTAAAACTACAGTATGTATGACATTGCACAAGTTGGTGAGTCAAAATCTGTCTTGATGACGATTCTGGAAACTTCACACTCCCTTTGACTGGGGTACACCCTGTAAGACATGAAATTTATAGAAAGAGTAATAAAGAAATTTTCTAAATCATGTTTACTTTTAAGGTATTTGAGGTAATTTTTTTCTTTACATCTTCTTAAAGCCAAATTATGACACAATACCTTGCAGTCGATGAACTTATTAGGCTTTGGCAATATGTAAACACATAAACGTAACCAGAACATAACTTAATAAGGTGGTTGTCTTCATCCCTACGTTTTAAAATAGCGCTGTGTAGTGGTTCAGCTCTTTAGGAACTTCGTACATTAATTATTTACTATTTCCATATTTTACCTTTGGTGGCGGTATCACTCCCATCAATTCTGCCTCAGACGGTGAAGATGTCCTCTGGTTGAATCTTTCATCGCCATGTCTTAATCCTGATGGGTGTCTCATGCCTTTGAAAAATAATAATTTATTTATAAAGATGATGCATTTATATTAATAATGCATAATTGAAGTGGGCATATTAAACAAGAATAATTTCTATTTTCAGTTTGAATTTGAAGGAGCTATATTTACCTGGATGTGGAGGTGGCATTCCACCTGGTGGTGGCATTCCGCCTGGTGGTGGCATTCCGCCTGGTGGTAGCATTCCGCCTGGTGGTGGCATTCCGCCTGGTGGTGGAAAACGCATGCCATCTGGTGGCGGGAAGCGCAAATCACCAGGAGGTGGATAGTGAGATGGTGGGAACATTCCTGGATGGTCTGGACCAAGTGGTGGAGGCATGCCTTCGAATTCCATATCTGAGAAGGGAGGTCTCATATCCATTTCACCTGGAAAGGGTCCCGGCCGGGGGCCAAGAGGGGGACCGTAATCTTCATAATGTCCACGAGGGGGTGGCCCAAAGTCGGGTGGAAAACCATGGAAGTCATCAGGGTGAAGTGGTGGTGGAGGTCCATACATCCCTTGGGGAGATCGGAGTCGTGGACTTCCTGGCCGATGGTTATCCAGGAACGGAGGGGATGGGATGTCCGCAATGCTGTTCCTACTTGGGCCCCGCCTTGAGCTGCCACGGTCACTGTAAAAAGTTAGAATTTTAAATAAAATGAATGATTTTAGAGTTTTATGTTACCATACAAAAATAAGATAAGATGCAAGTACAGGTAGTGTTATTTTTTTTTAACTGGAATGTATTCTAAAGACAAATACATTGATTAAATATATACATATATACTTGCATTTAACGACTAAACTGAAAATGTTATTCTTTACTCATGGTACAGTATAGCTATACATGAGTAAACATGACTTTTTGAAAGCAATTTTATGGGGGAGCTACAGTGTAATAGGTCACGCTTGATAATAATGTGATGTTATCAATACAATGTTTACTGTATACATACTCTTCACCTCCTCTAGCCTTTCTTTTAAAATAAAAATACACTAATAATCACTACACTTAACAATACCTTGTTTGACCAACTCTTCCTGTTGTTGATGCTGTGAAGGAAACAGAAAGTTTATTTAAAACAAAAACAAACAAAATCTAAACATGTTATTCTCATAATGATACTAAAAATTCCCATTGTCAGACTCAGAATAATATAAGTGGTATTGAAGTTATTACAAGTGCTTCCGCAGCATAATTTTAGCACTATATAAAATATTATATTACTATATAATATAAAAATTTTTAGAAATATATCTCTACAAAAATGTTATTTTTTGCCTTTTGCAGTAGGGTTGCAATGTTTGTAGAATTTATACGTAATTTCGTCAGTAATATAGTAGATGCGAAAATTGTAAGAATGAATTTTAAAAAAACTTACGGTGAGGAGAGGGGGCCGAGGGGGACGGCTTGACTACTTGAACATTCTCATTTGGTGCTTTACGCCCTTCAAGTTCTGTCAACCTGAAAGTCACAAGTACACATATTTAGTGAAAATTAATAATAAAGGAATCAAAAGATCCCCATTATGTCATGAGATAATTAAGTTGGTTTGGAAATAATTATCAATTGCATCACTGAGATTTGGCATAAATTTTAGCAAAAATATTAATTACTGAACTGACCTCTGTCTTAATACTGCTGCGTCACTCTTAGATTCATTAAGTTCTCTTTCAGACTTCTTGGCAGCAATCTGAAAAAGAAACAAAAACATGTTTTATTTGAAAAATAACAAACAGAACTACTGTAAGTAAAAAAAAAATAACATCCAAGATTTTTTCCTTATAATTTATTTGACTATTACCAACTAATTATTCTATTAAATATTATCAATGTAACTTTGACTTTTTTTTAGCACTGTCAAGGGGTCACAAATTATCTGAAACAACAACTTCATCCAATAGAGTATATTGCTCTTACAAATAGTTTTAAATCAACATTGAATTAAACCAACAAATCTAGGCATAGAAGTTTTAATGACCCTTACATAACTATATGTATTACACAAAAATCACTTTATTTACCCAGTTGTCATGTGCCTTCAGTTCATGTGCGGCAATCTATAGATGAAAGAAAACATGAAAAAAAAATTTATAAAACAATCTTATTGATCTTGATCCCTACCCGTACGTGGTGACAGAAAAAAATGTCCAAGTAGAGCCACAGGAGAAGGAAGATTAGTCATGGTCTAGATTGTTGTTGTTATAATAACAATGATAGTAGCTATAACTGTTTAGTTGAGTGGTATAAAAAAATTACCACCGAATACTATTATCGAGCGGTAGTGGTTAAAGACAACTTGATTTTTGCTTCGAACAAGGTATCCATTCGTAGAAGTCTTATGAAGATAAGCCTATCTAATAGTGACATCTAAGGGTCAGGACCAGGACATACCTCCAAATTTAAACTGACAAAGACAGAAAATTATTAAATACAGACACAATGTATACATAGGCCTATGTATACATTGTGTCTGTATTACTAAATACAGACACAATGTATACATAGGCCTAGGCTAGAGACCAACCTTAAAAACATAAAAAAACTGTTTAATTTAAAAATAAGCTTATAATATTATCAATGTTATGTGAAATTAATCTGTTAATTATGAATGAAAATAAGGCAAAATATAAAAAAAATAAAGGAAGGAAAAATAGGAAAGAAACTTGGAGTGGCTAAAATAGTTTCCAAAAATAAACAATAATTATCAATATATGTAATTACTGTTTCACCTTCTTGCAGCAAATTTTGGACACTATTCATCAGAGGTCAAGGTGTCAAGCCTACACTTTTCGTAATTCGACATCGAATCGTGTAGTTGAGTGCATCAAAAGGCATTTTTTTTATAACGAGAACTAACGAGAACTATTTTTTTAGAAAAAGCTATGAATCAAGAATAACCGAAAGGAAGTAAACTTACACTCTAATGCTTATTTATATTCTACAAAAGGTTATATGAAGTCAAGTTGGGCACCACAAACAGTCATCATTTTTTTACACTAATATTTATTGTTGTTTGCTATTTGAAAATCATTTCAATTTTTTTAAACAAACCTCTTTACGCAGACTTTGCTTCTGTTTCTCCATTTCTTCCATTAAATTCTTGACTTGTTTTCTAAGGAAGAAAAATCGTCAAATATTTTTGAAATTCATTAAACAATATAAATAAATAGCATGTCATATGCATATATTTCCAGCATTATGCGACTTATAAATCTGTATAATTACCATCTCAATGCGCATATCTTTTGGAAAATGTACTCAACATCTACAATCAGCTCCAAAATTCTAATAACTAATGGAAAAAGTGGTATAGGAGCTCAGAGACATGATTATAATTAGTATTTTAATTTAGCAGGATACCATCATTAATAAATTCAAGCAAATAATAAATTTATGGCTTTTAGTATGGTTGATTCTGGATTGAATGATACAGCTGTATCCAAGATTGTCATTTGTCAGACCCAGTCAGATTACATTTTCAAGTTTTTATTACAATTGCATTTAAATTTTAAAAAATTGGCCTAAGAATAGACTGCTGGTTAAAATGTAAAGGTTTAGATTCCCTTTTCACCTGTATTACAGAATATAACACCTTTTATATTCAGTACATTCTCAACTTTCTCGAAAGGTGGACCTTTTCCGATTTCGGAGCACCCCCTCCCAGATATGGGACTGAATGACCAGAGGAAAAAAGCACCTTGGACAGTCCTTCTGAACAAGTGCTATGGTATGTAAACCCTATTAAATAAATACAGATGAATATGTAGGTCACTGCAGCCTACCTATAGTTAGTAGAGTCTTCAAGTGCATCCGTAGAATTCTTCTTATATTCCTCTAACTGTCGCTTCAATTCTATATTCTGTGCATCCGTTATTCCAAGTTTTCTAATATAAACAAATAAACGTTAAACATTAATATTCACAATATATTTAATAATAGTAAGATGGATTTATATAGCGCAAATAAACAGGTCTCAGTGTGCTTGGAAAAAAGTAAATAGAGAACGAAAAAATGAATAAACTTGATAAAAATAATAATTGGTAATATTGATATAACAGTAAAAATTATAATAATATTGATAACAAAAAATAACAAAACTAATATGAATAATAAACATGAAAATTATATTATGAATATTAAATTATATTAACAATCAAATTAATTATATGAGAGCTATTGTCAATATGTAGAAATGTTGATACCTCTGCAGTTCAGCTTCTCTGTTTTTCCAGTACTCTTGTAGCACTTCATGCTTAGTTTCTGCTTGTGTATGTTCCCCTTGCACTTTGCTGAATTCACCTGTTACCCCCTTCAGCTGCAATTTCAGGTCCTCAACTAGGTCTATGTAGATGAGAACAGACTCATAATATCAAAAACATGTTTTGTAATCTTATTAAAAAGCAAATCCATTAAACATAAATTTTATAGAAACTATGTAAAGAGAATCCTCATGAAAATGAAAAAAAGAATGAGGATGTGTTTTGTTCCATTTATTTTCAAGGGGAATTGACATAGTCAGTATCTCCAGGTAAGTATTCACAAGATAGACATCAGTTTCGTGAGAAAGTCATACTCACTTTCAAGGAGTTGTCTTTTGGAGGTTTGATCTTGCAGGCTGTTCTCTAGTCGTTGTCTTTCTTCTTCTGTTGCTGCCAACCGAGTGTTAATCTTTGAAACATCCATCAACTGCTGTATCTTCATCTCAAAGTCACCTTCTGAAGATAATGTATAAGAAAAAGAATGATGTATTCAGATGGGAGAAGCCACTTTTAATAATATATTGCTAAGAGTGGCGATACTCATCAAGAGCTATATTCCAAGAGGTTATTGATAATCTAGTAGTAAAAACATGCAAATTTCATTAATTTGTGGAAGATGGGTTGGTTTTCCGGAGGTTTTTGTTTGCCAAAGTTCTGGATGCCAACCCAATATCCGGGGGACTTCCACAACTGAAAAGAGGCTTTCAGATTAGATGTTGGCAAGATCAGGAGTCTACATGTGTACAAGACATACATGTGAAGAGCATACAGTAAATCTACATAATGTTTAATTAATGTAGATTAGACAACAAGGAAGATATTATAGATTACACAGCTCTTTATTTATTTCTTGCTTCTATTCATTTACTTCAACTAGTGAAAATAAATATATTGCATATCGGGATTGCTTTTAAAATATAGTCTACCTGTTCCATCTTCTTCGTCTGCTTCAAGTCCTTTCAACTGGACAAGGCAGTCCTTCAAAACCTAGAAAATGATAGAAATAAATAGAAATCAAACATCATTATAAAAACCTTGATCTTTTATCTGGTTAAAAATTGAAATTGATGCTAAACTGAGAGTAGCTAAGATATAAATTACTAATCATTACAGTACATACAAGTATCTCTCCAATTTATGTTATGTACAACATCATTTGGCAATGCCTACATTGATTACTTTTAAAACCAAAAATTTTAATCTATATTTAAATTAGTAAGAAAATTATTTTATCTTCATACAGTATCTGTAATTATTTTACCTCATTTTCGTTTTCCTTTTCTTTGATAGAAGAGACCAGTTCTTCCCGCTGCTGCTCCAATGCCTCAATTTCACCTTGAGCTTCCGAATGTCTGTTGGAAAAAAACAGAATGAGATAAACATTAACAGTATGGTTCATTTCCTCCATCTAACATCATTTCTATCTTGGAGTTAAGCTGACTTTATTGGTATAAAACACAGCAAACACTGTTTACTGAGAGTACTATATTGTAGACAGAAAAATTAATATACACAGGCCATGAAGATTAAGAAGCTTTACTCTTTTTATAATGATATATTAAATCATTACTTGTATGTTCATATATTGCTGCAATTAATACTATTAATACTTTATTAATACTATTCTTGTTTATTATATGAAAATATTGAAATCAATAACAATGTATTAATAATGTAATGATCATATCAAAAATAATAAAATCGTAGAGAAATATTATTATTTAAATACCTTTGTTTCCAGCCTTCAGTATCCTGTGCATACTATTGGAAAATAAAATAGAATAAAATATATAGATTTTTAGAAATTAGGGCAAAACATAATGAAAATTAAGATATTTGTTAATAATTAAATCATAAAAATGATGATAATAATGATAATGCTAATAGTGGTAGATGGTGTAGGACAACAACAATGGATGACGATGATGATGATAATAATGATGATGATGACAGTGATGGATGATGATGAAGATGATAATGATGGATAATGACTATGACGGTGATACCAATGATGATGATATTGATGATGATGATGATGATAACTTTACTTCCCAGCACTGGAAAATTATTTTCCTTAACAGTGCAATGGAAACACTGACGACAAAGACAGTGTTGATGGTGATTTTTTTTAAAACAGAATAATGTTAATAAATAATAACCATCAATAATTATCATCACAAAAATTAAAGAGGATTACGAAAATAATTAATAAATAATAATAAATTATTTAAAAGTACATTAAAACAAAATCAAGATAATATATTTATTAATAATGAAAATAAATGATTCAAAGGAATATTCTTAAAGGATTTGATTGGCTAATTAAGATCAAATGAATATAATACACCAACTACCTGTTCCTTAGTCTCCTCTAGTAACTCGTTCTGTTCTCTTGCAGTTACGAGATCAAGCTCAAGTTGAGCTCCTTTTTCTACGCTACTTTTTAACTCAACCTCAAGCTAATAGGAAAGACAGGAAGAAGACAGCAGTGTAAAAATACAAGGTATAAGCAGGTTAGAAAATATAGCCTAAATGGGAGGCTATTTAAAAAATAATTCACAAAAATAATCCATATTGTGGTACGTGTTGGAATGTAATGCGATAAAGCGTACACAAATCAGAATCAAGATTTTGGTGAAGCCCCAGAATAAACCACTAAAGTGTCATTCAAAATCTTTTACTCCTACATTTTTATACACATACATGGACAAAAATAAAATGTAGATAAGTTGTTTTGCATTAAAGGACACAACCCATGTTATCAGTATCATACATGACCTTACGACCTTTGACTCATGCTTTTGCATGAATAATCAAGGCTCATTATTAATTATCCCGACTGGCAACCTGCAAGGCACACATTGCATGCCACGATGCCATTGAAATCAGCAGCCAGCGTTACATTGTCATGCACTGACACAGTGCAAATTCATTCACCTGTGTGAACACAGCTTTAAATTATGTTAAAGCTTTGTTCACACTATCAAATTTTATGTGACAAAAAACTCATTGCAAATAAGTTGTTATAATATTAACAACTTTCATAGGTCATCCTGGCATCCTTGTTCTTTGTTGAATGTCTTTTGTAATTTTTGCCCTTAGAGTTTTACCAAGCGTTTTACCAAGCTTTATATTTTTAATGTCATTTTTAGGTCTTTATGCTGTACTTTTCGCTGTATTGAATTTTGATGTCCACCTTTATAATAATCTGTGTACATTTTTTCTATGATGCCAAATAAAGAAATCAAATCAAATGCCCACATTTACAGTAGGTATAGTATGATATATGGGCATGTCACATGAATCTGTCGCATACAATTTGAGCATGAACAGAGCTTTACCTGTTCAATAGATGCTTTTAGATCCTGAATCAAACTGGAAGCGGTATCAATGTTGTTCTGTAGTGTCGAGATGTGCTCCTTGTGTTGCCTTAACTCCTCCAGTACGTTCTCATGTTCTCTTCTTAAATCAGATGAGTCTTGAGAAATAGCTTCAATTTCCTGTTGCAATTGTAATTTTTCATCCTTAAAAGCAAAAATTAGTTATCATTAATTATCTACTTCCATAAAAATATAGTACTTAGTAACAATAAAGTCACCTACGTAAGGAGCACCCAACTTTATACGAAAAACCGTTGCTTGATAAACTCACATTAATCAACAAGATGAACCTCACAAATTGAATAAGTATGGTATTCTTACAAGCAGACCTGGTAGACTGGTTGTAGGGAAAAACAAGTACGAAATGTCACAGAATCTCTTTCCTCCCTAGTGCAATAAACATATCTAATCAGAGCTTTATAACTATGTGTATGTAATAGTACTGTACTGTTGTAACCCTTGTTTTTCATATTGAATGTATTGTTAATTATTTAATAACTGTAAGCTTTGTTTTTTGTAACTTTCAATTTTGGCAATACTGTTTCTCTATTGTATATATTTCTCATAATCTGTCTTTGGAAAATGAATTTCATGTGTTTTATACACTTGTACACATATGAAGAATAAAAAAAAAAATTGGAATCTTGTATCTTGCATCTCAGAGAGCTTCTTATCAGGCTTTTCTGCATAGTATTTCATTAATATTTTACTTCTATTTAATAATAATAATAATAATAATGGTAGACTTATATAGTGCATTATTGTTAAGCCCTCTATGCACTTCACATTATCATTACCCTGGTCATTGGATTAAACGCCTATGAAACACAAACTCAAGCTCCCTGGGGGAGTATTCCATAATGTTGCAGCAGCTACATCAGCGCATTTTGGCATTTAAACCAACCAGGTACTCCTGGGTGGAGAGAAGCCCAAGGAAACAAGTGAAATGCACAGCAAGGGATTGAAACCCAACCTCGAGGTTGGGAAGCCAAACTGTTCCCGCTGCGCCAAAACACTTCCACACTTTCTACAACCAATATAAATATAGTTACACTAATACTGTTATATTTTCTAAAATGTATTAGAGTTGTATTAGGGTCTGTACTGAACCTACCTCAGCTTCTTTGATTTTATTATCAAATTCCAAACTTTTTTCTTCTATTTCGTTGAACTTCTGGTGGTAATCTTTGGCCTGATATTAATAAGCATATTATATAATAAGCAATTAGTAGTGTACACTAGTGGAAAATATTATACAAAATATTAGGTTAATGCAATATCTTTTTAATCAACGTTGTTTTACAAGTCATTTATTTTATCACATCAAAAGCGATGATAGGGCAAGTGTCTGCCCTTTCTTTCCGCAGGTGCCTAGAAATCACCTTTTGCACATGAACCAAAAAAAAGATCCAAGCAAACTGTGCACTTGACTTATAATATACATAATAGTAATATAAACATTTTCAACAACCATCATTTGAATTATGCCAGATAACATACATTAGGCGTCACTATTATCATTTGATAATATATAAATAATTAAAGTTTATGAATAGGCTGGAATAGGATATTTTATAATGAAATATTGAATGATACAGAACATCCAATTTTTTGCTGAATGAAAAAACATTCATCATTTGTTTTAAATTAGCCAAAAACAGGGCTGTCACTGTTGTGTTGTTTAAAAAATACACAATAAACTTTAAATTTCTACAAACCAAATAGGCCATGTTATCGTAAGCATCATATAAGTTGGCTTGCACATCCTCTTGGTGCAACAGATCAGCTGCATGTTGATGTTTCAACTCTACAAAAAGTTAAATTATAACAAAATAAATTGATAACTTTTATTGCTGTGAGATAAATTTATATTTGAAAGTTACAGTTTTAATATTTGTATTTTTCAATAAATATATACAGACGGTAGTCTTACTTCTAGAAGCTTTAGCACTACAGATCTGTGGAAAAACAAAAAACAACAAATTGTTTACTTGTAAGTACAGTATAGTGGTCTATCATCTTTTACATTCACTTTACAATAATGAAGTGATTTAACAATATCAATTGAAATTACAATACAATACACGTCTACATATTTTACTTCTATTTGTGTACAGAATGTAAGAGAAACACAATATTTTATTGATTTAGCCACAACAGTTGAAAAAGTTTTATTTACTTGGGCGGTGGTAAAATATCCACTAACAAATATATCATTCAATTAATAAGTAAATTAATTAATAATTCAAAATATTATTGATATTATTTTCCTCACAATGGAAAATCTTCCTTTTAATAACTTAACCACTCAACAACAAAATCAACGTAAACTTACAAAAATATATTAATCCATAATAAATCCTTATAAATTTTTGTGTTTTAAATCATACTTTCTTCAATAATCTTCTTATACCTTGTTAGATGGCTTACTAATAACTATGAAGATTTGAGGGTAATAAAATATTTGATGACTCACCCAACCAGAAAACATCATGAGAAAAAAGATGACGAGAGACTGTCCAAGAAGTATCACAAGCCAGGGGTAACCCCAGAGATTAGGGGCAAGCAACTGAGCATGGACATCATCTGGAAGCTAGAACACAAAAACGAACATGAAATTTAATCAATATACACTAATAATGCTCTAAATCACTGATAGAAGAAACTCTCCAAAAAGTTGATACAAAATAGTCATACAATTTTACAGATTATTAATGCTTTCCATTCCAATTCTCTGAATGGAAATTGGTTAGTATGCTTATTATTATTTTTATTTGATATAGTAAGTGTATATTCTTTTTTGATGATCAAAACGACAATGAAACGTTATTATCTTACAGCAGGATATTCAGTTTGATAATACACTACAAAATTGTTGATATTTTTTTTCATGTCCAAATGTATGGATTTTGGTAATAAAGTTCATCTGATCTTATTTTATTATAAATGATAAATACTGTAGCAAACATGAAAACCATGATTCTTCACATGAAACCCCTTACTGAATTTCTAGTCATTAACAAGGTTTCCCTATAAAAGTACTTTTCATCACTAGAGGGCACCCTACTCACCTGACTCAGTAATGGTTTCATTTCATGTACCACACTCATGATGCCTGGACGAATACTCGCTTTCACCACCAGCCAAACGTCATACAAAGTTGTATCATTCACAACCCTCTGGTTTTCAGCATTTTCTTCTGGTTCAGCCTCAACAGACTTCTAGAAAAAAAGCAAAAATGAATGCAATAATCTACACTCTAAATAAAACGATGTCTGATAATAGAGATGGGTGATTCAATACTCATGCATGATGATTTCACTATTCCCTGTAGAAAATGTGATGATGTCATTATCATATGTAGAGAACATGATCTGACATTATTCTAAAGTGGAAAACATGATGATAACGATATCATTATATGCATACTTCTAATGATTATATTACACTAGTTCTACAATGGCCATTACACTTTACACCTACACTGCTATGTCAGTCTACACATAGAATGTATGAAACTAAAGTTATTCAGATATTAAATTAATCAGATGGTAAATACTTTGTTTTCACATATATCATCTAAAAGTAGATAACAATATAACAATATTTTGTATGACTAAATTACCAAAACACAAATTTTCACATTTTAAACATTGATTATAGATTAGGTCTACTAAACTATACAAAAATGTGATAGAAGCTATAAATAATAATAATACAGTGAAATTTATATACTGTAGATATAAAAAAATTATAGTTTCTCACTACAGAGTGTGTTATACATAATTTAATACCGTATTTATTTGAACAAATGCCCCAGGTGTTTATTGTCGATAAGGGTTTTTGAGGGGGCGTTTATTTGAAGGAGGCATTTTATTTTATTTGGTGTAAAATAGATATATATACTCTTATAAACGCCCCTTAATTAAATGTGGCCGTACTACACATAATTACAGTCAAATTGTGTTGTTATGTGAACATTGCCCTAAAAAATATTGATCCAAAATTAACTGGGCTACAAAAAATGTAACTCTACAGGAGTAGAACATTAATAATAGACTGTGTTTAAAACGTTGTAACTTCTATTAGGTTTGTTTACAGCCGTTTAGGAGGAGAAAAAAAATAAACACCCCAGGGAGAATATTCAAGGGGGAATTTATTCCAAATGAGGCTTGAAGAGGGAGTTTATTCAGAAGGGGGCATTTATTTGAATAAATACGATTAATCTTTAATTATTCATGAAAATTAGTCTGAGGTCATGACTGTTACAAATGAGGCATAACTGGTACAGTAAATAAACATTTTATCCAATTACAGCAAAACTAAAATCAAAGAATTTTATGCTCAAATAAATTCAAACTTGAAAGAAAAAATGTTAATGTTAACATAAAATAAATAGTACTTGAACAATTTTCATCATGCTTTGCCAAACAAAAAACATTTCTATAAATATTCATGAAGATTAAAGGCAATTCATTAGCATATAGTAACTTATAGTATAAAGATATGTAAATGAATTACCTTATCTTCATGTATATGAATTAGCTTACTACTGAATATTCAACACTGCAATCTCTTAGTTTATGTTTATTATGCTCAAGACTACACACAACAAATGGACCGTTCTGCTATGTTCCTCCTTTTGATGTGGTTGCTAGGTCCCACAAAACTTTTGTAAATTTGGGTGACTGTGGGACATGCAGTATTTCTGGCATTTTAATGTTTGTAATTTGATTCAAAGGAGAAAAATGTTTAAATGACAATACAGAAAGGCTCATTACAATGAAAGTGCACTAAGTACAACTACGGTGATTTTTCAGAGTACATTTCTATGCAAGTATTAATGTAATAATACTAACAATAATATTTATAAATAATTAATAAGAAATAAACTTTTTCAATCAGTATTAATACAGAGCCTAAGACACAAAAGGGCAAACAGAAATAAACAGGCAGTTATTAAATCAAATTAAATTAAAACAACTGAAAGCTGTGTTGCATTGAATAATTACATGTGATGTCAATGCTGAATCTGAGACTAATAGCTTGCTGGTTATATCAATTATCAATTCAATGACCAATAGTAATACTGACGTAGCCAGTAACAAAAATTAATTTCAGATGACAGTGCTGGAGAAAAAACGAAAAATTACAGAAATATTCTAGAAACTAGAGATAATAATTAGCAATTTAGGTTGACAAATAGGTAACCAGGTATAATTTAAGATACCTGTCTCTATATTTTCAATTCTTTGTTAGGCTTAATATACTGAAAATCTAATTGGAGGCGGTGGGAGAGAGTTTCATAAAAAAAAAATATATGTTCACAGGCAGCATGCAAGGTGTAAAATTCAATTACAAATCTGTTAATAATGATATGTTACAGCAATTTATTAGGCAATACTGTTCAAACAACTTGCTTCAGAATATCACTTAGGCACGTATAAAATTCATTTGAATGCTTTACACAAGATCCCATCAACTGGTTTATATTTGTGGCTAGCAGAATCACATGTTCACATCATATTATATAGTATATTAAAGTCAATTTAAACAAGTAACTTATTTCACATAACCCTTGATTTCTGAAGCAAATTTAGCTATTAAACACAAGCAGACAAAATCACTATAGATATGTGGGCAGCCAGGCAGAGCAACAACCAAAGCAATATAAGATCAAGACCACACCTTAAGAGTTCTTTTCCTATGGACCAAATACTGATCCATCCCTGCTTCACCATCTCTACTATCTTGAAAATGAGGTTGCCTGTACTCTGGAGGGTTGACCTCATCCTGATGTGAAGATCTCTGTGATGCCGTGTCTGGTAATTTACCAGAACTGTCAAACACTGTATTCTGGTTTGATTCAAGAAGATCTGCAGGTCTAATAACTACCATCGGATCACTTGAACTGTCAGTGTGAACTTCAGGCATTATTGGAGAGGGTGTGCTCAGTTCTGGTTCATGAGGGACATTATGAACCACTGACACATTAGGATGAATTGGTCCTGTGTGTACTTCTCTGTCATCATTCCTCATGTCTTTGCGTTCTTCTAATTGTTTTTCAGTATCTTCCTCTAGGATCACTTCGTTGTCAGGTTCGCTAGAATCAAAGGCATCACTATCAGGTTGCTCCACCTGATCGCTAAAAGCTTCTGTATTTTGTTTTTGATTTACGTCTGCATCAAAAATTTCACTTACCAAATCTCGATGAACATCTTTTGACTGCTGACTGACATCTCTTTCTTCCTGATCAAAATGTGTTTCTAGCCATTCATTACTTGTATCAACCTCCTCCATTCCATGATGTATATCATCATCATCTTCTTTCTGATCATTTTCTTCTTCCCTGGTACCTAAATCATCTTCGAAAGAGTTCAGGTGAACATTATTGGATATGACATCAGATTCCTCAGTATTTCCTTTAGCATTTTCTCCTTCACTTTCAAATGGTGTTGCTTTTATGTCTTCCTTGTTTTTATCCTCCTTAGTCAGACCATTGCCATCAAATTCTTGATGATTCTCACTATGATCAGCATTTAAATCAAGATCATCAGTGCTATCAGAATCTACTACAATATTTTCATTAGCAAGAGTAGTTTCAGAATTTTTTCCAACATGACCACTTTTACTTTGCCTTTCCCTAAAATTTATAAATTCTTTTTCAACTTGATCATGATTTAGCTGCTGGATATGTAATTTGTCTTTTGAGAATCTAGAAAATCTCTTTCTGAATTTCTTGTCTTTGAGTGCTTCCTCATGTGTTCCATCTCTTTTGTGACTAAATTCAATTTTTGACAACTCTTCACTTATTTCGATCATTTTCTTCTCATCGGTTTCTTTTTCATTTTCTATAGCTGATTGTTGAAGTGTTTCTTGGTTTGATAAGATCCTATAATCCCCTACTTTATAATCAACTTCTTCTGATTTATCAATTTCTGCTGAAAGCTCATTCACATCTACATGTACACTCAAAATTTCTTTTGGTCCCTCAGGTGATGCGAGTGAGTCATTAAATGGTCCATTAGAGTTCAGATTTAAATCTTCCTTCTGATGTTGTAGATTAGGTGGTGAATCTCCTGACTTTTCTGCTGACTCTTCTAAGCCAACCCCAAAATTGAAATGGTGACTTTTTGCAAAATTTAACACAGTATCATCTTCATTTTCTGTCAGTTGTTTATCAGGATCTAATCTGCTTTCATCCTTACTGTTTTGATCATCACCAACACCTTGAAAAACATTATTATTTTCTGCTTTCTGTTCCAGTCTATCTGCAATAAATAAGCTTTTAAGTCTATATTTAGCTTTACTTTCAATCAACTCATCATGGTTTTCTTGTGACGGTTCCAGATTCGGAGCTTTCCTGTCATCCAAATTGTCAATTTCAAGGTTTATGTTATCGTTTTGTGCCCTTTCATCTTCCTCGTGTGTTTTCAAATCTTCAGGTTGTTGATTTTGATTGTTATTGATAATGCTGGCCTCATTGTATTCCTCATCTTCATCAGTATCAAATTCACTAATATATTCCATATTTTTCATATCTTTCATAATTTCTTCAGCATGTTTTTTGGCTTCCTGTTGACTATATTCAGCCATTTCTTCACTTAATTTCCGTTTATCATCTTCTTCAACTTTCTCTTCTTCATTCATCTTGGCAATCATAGATTCCAACCATTCTTCTTCATTTTTTTCTTTTTCAAATGTATCATCATGTAACTTTTCTTCCTGCTCATCATGTATTCGAATGCCTTTCACTGGATCCCCAAGGTCAATACTATGATCATAAGGATGATCCACAAATACACTTTCTTTCATATCAGTAATGTCTTTAGAATGTTTATCATGCTCTTTACTGTCAATATAATCTGGTTTTCTGTCTTCTTCGGACTTTTGAAGAATTACCTTCTCTTCTATGGAATCACTATACTCCAATGAAAATTGTTGTCTTTTATCAGCTACTTCAGACTCATATGCAACTGTATTCTCTTCAACAGAATCAGTTGGATGTTTATCATCACTTCCAACTGAATCTGATTGTCTTCCATATTTTTCATCAGATGGTTCTTGAAGACTGTCTACCACAACATAATTTGAATCAATGGTATCCTCATTCTGATCTTGCACACTGTCACTTTTAACATCAGCAGTATATGATTCTTCTTCATTTAAATATTTTTCCTGACTTGTAGCTGGATCAACTTCATTATTTAGCTGTGAATTCTTACCAACAATAAAATCCCTTTCTGGTTGCACATGTATGGAACTACCTTCTTTTTCTTGATTAGAAAGAACGTCACGATCAATTTTAAATTCAAACAGTTCATCGCTTACCTTATTTGATGTTTCTGTACTACCACCTTCAGACTCAGTTGGATTCAATTGATCGTTGATGTTTGTTGAGTCTATAAAAAAATAAATAAATGCCAATTAATCTAAAAGTAAGCATTGCAAACAAACAATCCCAACAAACCACTTGATGTAATCATGTTTGAAGAAAAACTGAAAATATGGAAACCAATTTATCAATTATGTGTGTGTGTTAACTTCTTATGAAACTTGAATAAACTGTAGTAGATTTACTCTTCATTTTAAATATTAATTTTAACAGAACATGTAGACTGATAGAATAAATCAATGTTTCCAAATATTTTAAGTATTTTCAACAAATATGGTATACAAACTAATATACTTATAAAATGGGTAAAAATTATTGAAAGTAAAAAATATAGATCACCAAATGTAAAAGTTCAAAACTACAAGAAACATAAAAATGAAAGAAACTGAAAATTGAAAAGGTGAAGATAGAAATGCAGTAATTAAGTTTTAGTGATTTATCCCATTAAAAATTCAAACCAATTATATACCTAATTCACATGACAGAAATTTACTAAATATTAACAAATTATACTACTATTTTAATTTTAACTGCATCAAACTGTGCATGTTCACATGTTAGAGGAAATAGCAATCTTGTTCCAGCTTAGGCCAAGCTTGGCTCAAAGCACAAGAAGTTATGCCAGGCAAACATTAAATTGATTTACATGGTGGCCCTGCTCTAAGTAGAGAGGCTTACACATACACCTAGCCGTCCTATGCCACTATTTTCAGGCGTGCATGTGTAGGCGAATGTAACAAAACAGCACACTCTATAATGATATTGAGTTTTGTCAAACATTGACACAATTGAGACATATCTAAATATCCCTGTAAATATTTTGTTGATTTTTGTCACGAGAATCAGGTATTTTTTCAAAGACCTGGTGAATAGAATAGAACTGCAAGATGACCCATGAACACCATTAATAAATTATAATTAAATGCATTAATATGATAGTTTGAACAAAGATGAAATTAAACATTTGATTAAATAAACTGAAACATAAAACAATGAAAAAATATACAAATTACACGGACCAAATAACATGCAAAAATAAATAAAATTAATTAATGTAACAAATAAAGCATTCAATGGAAGAAATTTGACTTTATTATTGTTAAAAATGCAGAATTATGTTGATCATAAATGAAAAGTACCAAAGCACCTGAAAAAAGCACTACTTGATTTAATATGATTTCTTAATCACATATCAACTTTGATGTACATTTCAAACACAATTTTAAAAATAGGCACCACCTGCTAAGACCTGAAAAATATACTTCCCTAAAAGAAATATTTAATAATAATTAAAAGAACATGTAACAAATATTTTGAGTAAATATTTACTGTAAAGCCTCACATTAAATTAAGAATTTTCAGCACTGACAGAAGCAGCCACTCCATAGAAAGCTTGCAGAAAGTTTTAAATTTTTATAAAAATAAATAGGTAAATACCTAATTTTGCTTTGTGGTTGAAGTTTAGAAACATACAAATGTGTTTGAAGTACAAAAGCAGACTGAAACCTGTGCTACTACCTGAACCTAAAGTCTTGCTGCCACCAAGTAATGCATGAGAAAAAGGTTAAAGGAATAGGTTTGGGGAAGTTTCATGCTTTCAAAAGTGGGTAGGTCGGGAAAGGGCAAGTAGACAATAATGGGATGTGGAGGAAAAAATGTCACCTCTCCTACCACGTTCAGCAATCCTTCCTTGACTCTGAATTTCAACAGGAAGTTGTTCAACATCAGGAGAAGCAGACTGGCTCATCATCAATTGGGTTACCAACCGTTCTTTAACTTCTCCATCCGGACTAATGAAAACTTTATGATTTGGGGTAAAAATTGTAGACTTTCTTTCTTTTACTATACATTGAGTATCCGCCAATGGCCAAACAAGGGCCAAGTTGTAACAGACATTATCCAAGGCAGATGTCACCACAGGGTTAACAACTGTGTCATTAAATTCAGATGTGGTAATCTGTTCATCAGGTTTCATAATTCTGTTTTTCGGCACTCTCTTACACACTGGCTTTGGAATCAACATGATTAAGATAGTGTTTGGGCAGACACCTGTGACATCCTCATCAAACGATGTTGCTTTTTCTGTTGTTGAATGTACTGCATGGCATATTTGGTTGGTGGTAGCTAACCTTTGCCACAGCCACATCAAGTTCAAGCAATCAGAACTATTATCTTTAGATTCATTGGGTTTTTCAGTCTTCATGATTTCACCATTACATGTTTGACTGTTCTGAGGTAGCACACCCAGTGCATTGTTGACACAATCATCACCACGTTTCAAAAGTTTGCCTAATTGTTTAACTAAACATTTTTGCTTAAAAATTGGTAGAAATATCTCAAGAATATCATCATTGCAGACAGAATTTTCAAAAGATAAAGTCTGGGCTACATTACACTTTAACTTATGAGCTGGTAGAAACAATTGTAAAACAGTGTTCGGGCAATCTTTCTGATCAACAATTCCAGTTTTTGAATAAATTATTTCAGATCTGCATTTCAATTTGAATAATGGCAGGAATAGTTCTAGCACAGTATTTGGACAAGAGGTTGTTACCAACTTTGCATTTAATGGGCATTTCAATTTGTATGATGGAAGAAACATCTCAAGAACATAATATGGGCAGCCAGTACTATAAATTGGTAAGCTTCCTTTACATTTCAGTTTGGAATCAGGGAGGAACATTTGTAAAACAGAATTTTGACAGTTGTAAGAAATGTTTTCTTTCCTTCCTACAATAACATTAATTACAGATTTTTGTTTATGAGATGGAAGGAACATTTGTAAAACTTGATTTGGACAACTTGTAGAAAGATCTTGGGCTTTACATTTCAATTTACATTTCAGTTTATAATCAGGAAGAAACATTTGTAAAACAGAATTTGGGCAGGTGTTAGAAGTGTTTTCTTTCCTTACTTCAATAACATCAATTACACATTTTTGTTTATGAGATGGAAGTAACATTTGTAAAACTTGATTTGGACAACTTGTAGAAAGATGTTGGGCTTTACATTTCAATTTACACTTCAGTTTATAATCAGGAAGAAACATTTGTAAAACAGAATTTGGGCAGGTGTTAGAAGTGTTTTCTTTCCTTACTTCAATAACATCAATTACACATTTTTGTTTATGAGATGGAAGTAACATTTGTAAAACTTGATTTGGACAACTGGTAGAAAGATCAGGCTCTTTATATTTTAATTTATGTACTGGTAAAAACATTTCCAATACAGAATTTGGACTACTCTCCAAGCGTTTTCTTGAGTATCCAATATTCATTGGAACTTTGCATTGCATTCTATTTACTGGAAGTAACATCTCTAAAACAAAATTAGGGCACATCAAAGATGTACAGTGTTTAATTGGTTCAATTTGCAAGCCTGGGCATTTCAATTTATATGATGGAAGAAGAATTTCAAGAACATAATTTGGGCAGCTTTTATCATGAACAGGTAATCTTGATCTACATTTAACTTTGCAATCAGGAAGGAACATATGTAACACAGAATTTGGACAGCTGTTGGAAAAGTTTGAGTGCTCTGGTAAATATGCTGGAAGTAAAACCTCTAAACCAACATTAGGATATCCCTCAGATGTATGGTGTTTAATTTGTACATTTTGCAACTCTGCTTTACATATCAATTTATGTGTTGGCTCAAATAATTCTAACACAGAATTTGGACAGGTCAAGGAGTATATAATATTCAAGGATTTATTTATTATTGCTTGACATTTCATTTTATGCACTGGCAGAAAAAGGGATAAAATTTCATTGTGACAACTCAGAGGTATACTAGATCTCTGAAGACTGTTTTTGGAAATGGCCTGTGACTTCAATTTATATATTGGTAGAAATAATTCTAAGACAGAATTTGAAAAACCAAATGAACCACCAGGTGGAGGGATTCTTTTATCTAATTCTGCTTGACTCCAGTTTGCTTCACATTTCATTTTATGCTTAGGGAAAAACACCTCTAATACAATGTTTGGACAACTTTTATTCGGACTGTGTGCCTTGATATCTGATTTAGGTAGCTTCAAATTGCACTGTAGTCTGTCATATGGTTGTAGAATATTAAAAAAAATGTTTTGGCAAACAGACAGGTTATCAGATTCTATTTTCATGTTTTCAACATAATTTACGCTAGAATAATCTTTGTTTTTGAATATCTGCTGAACAGAATTTTCACCAACAAATGAGTTTTCTTTTGATGTTTCTACTGCATCATCACTGAGAGCACATTTCATATTTTTCATAGGTAGAAAGATTTCTAAAACACTGTTATGACAAGTTGTTTGTGGAACTTCTAGATTGGCTGGCTGTATCAACTCTCTACACTGTTGACGATGAATTGGATAGAAAATCTCCAATATATTATTTCTACTACTGCTGCCTCTGAAAGTTTCTGTAGTGCTAAGTTTTGAAGTCTGAGAAACTACAGTATTAGAACTCTTGTAACCTTCACCATTGGAATACACTTGAACTACTTTTAAGCTTCCTTTAAATTTTAAATAGCTCATAGGCTGACTTAAAGCTGTTATAAACCTTAGAAAATCAATTGTTTTACTGTACTGGGATTGCTGTTCATCTGAAATTGTTGACGGAATTATTGATGGAATATTGTTAAAAGCCTTGTCTTCACTTACTTCTGGTCTTTCCAACATTGGCTGTGCCACCTCGACAGTGCACAAATTACTTTCTTTAGGTTGAGGAAGAAATACATTAACAACCGAAAGGCAGGCTCCCAAAGGAATCATTTGTCTTGGATTAACATCAAGATGGGATTCCACTAAGCTTTCATGTATGAAACACACATTCTGGGGACCTATAAATTCAATAAAATGCTGGGAACAAGACAACACTTCAGTAACAGGGACGATGTCTCTCATAGGGCCCTGACCTGAAAGAGTACAATTTTTGCTATAAGAACATGTGCCTGAATCATCTTTTTGTGGGTTAACTTGATCATTGCAACAAGTGAAAAAAAATATATCCATAAAGCTGCAAGAAAAGATTGAATGATTACCATCTATTTTCTGTTTGCTAATAAACTGGGCTTCCTCAACAATGTCTATTTCTTGTACTTCACATTTAAAGGCTGATTCCAACCAAGTTAAAATGTTATTTGCACATGAATCGTCATAAAATCTATGAGGTGTACTGACCATCGATGTTACTCCATTCCTTAAGATGACTTCATCAAGATTATCATCCTCAGTACTGCCATCGTTATAATTCAAAATTTGACTTGTTAATCCTGAGTCAGCAACATCGGTAAGGTTAGCACTGACAGGGTTCACAATGGAATTCTGAGGGATTGAAGATTCATCTTGTATACTTTGCATCTTTTGGTTGAATACAAGGGACTCAAAGCTGATACTGTGACACACATCATTATTTTCATGAGCAATAGAAATTGTTTGTAGCAGTTTACCAGAGCCAGTAGCAGCGTCCTCTGCAGTTTTGTTCGGTAACCTTTTAACACTTATTTTCTGTACTTTTGATAGCTGAGTAAAGGATAACACATTACTAAATAATAGCCATTCTGTGCCAATGCTTATTGAAGACTTATTGAAGTAGGAAACAGAATGCGAATGTAAGACTTTATCAAAGTTCTTTGAAAATGTTTGAATTTCAATTTTCTTTGATTCAAATTTATCACGTGGTATTTCTGTAGTGAAATATTTCTTATGTTTACATTGTAAGATCTTGGTCATTAATAGCCATTCCTGAGCAAGACTAAGAGAGACTGCTTTGCTACTAACCATAAGGCTCTTTTCACCAGCATGAATTGTAGGATAATCAGTAATAATATCAGCAGCAGGCATCTGTTTGTCTTTACTGCTCAAAACAGAGCTTTGAACATCTGACTGTAGTTTTTCATTGAGTTCTTGTTGAGCATCTAAGTCAGGTTTCTGGTTGACTTCTTGAGATTCCTTATGTGAAACCATATCTTGAGTTTCAAGGAGTGGTAGTCGGTCTTCAGCAAGCAAGGGCAAATTAACTACATCCAATGTTATTTCTTGGTTTTTCTTTTCTTGGCCATCACTCTGTGGATTGGAACTTGAAGCATCAAGCAACACTTCATGTGGGGTTTGTTGGAAACCATCGTCTGAAACTGAAAGATGAATATGTTCTTGTTCGTCTTCAGTTGGAGAAGCCACCTCTACAACATCAGCTTGTAGTTCTCGGTTGACTTGATTAGCAGTATTGATCAGAAGCTGCTGTTGGACTTCAGCAGAAGGCGACTCTGGAACATCCACCAAAATTTGTTGCATGACTTGCTGTTGGCCTGAAAGGTGTATATGTTCATGTTGGTCTTCATTTGGAGAAACCAACTGTACAACATCAGCTTGTAGTTCTTGGCTGACTTGATTATCAGTATTGGTCAAAAGCTGTTGTTGGACTTCTGCAGAAGGGGACTCTGGAACATCCAACAGAACTTTTTCCATGACTTGCTGTTGGCCATCACCGGTTAAATCAATGCTTGGTACGTCAATTTTAAGTATTTGGCTATTATGTTCCACATCACTGGTTTTAATGACAGAATCAATCTGATTTTTATCAATATTAGAGGCTTGGTTAACATGTACTTCTTGTTCTTCCTTGGATTGGATTATATTGCTAATAACACCATCTAGTCTATCAGAATCCATTAGTACTGGTTTTGTATAACCACCACTATCAGCAAGTAAATCTTCAGCAGCTAATGTTTTATGATCAGCAGCAAATTCAACTGCAGAACTGACTGCAGAACTTAGTTCATCAGTTACAGTCTTATGTTCAGAATTTTGTTCAGTCTCCCCAGATTTGTCAATTAACATATTACTGCTTTTAGTAAACCCTAAATCACCATGACTGTCTAGTACTGTGTTTTCATAAATTTTACCAAGGTTTGTAGTGACATCCACACTCTGGGGTTCCTGTGCATTTTCAACTGGCATTTGGTGGTCTGCAACTAAAATCATTACTATAAATAAAAAGTGTAAAATATTTCTGGAAAGTGAATTAATTATGCAGTTATGTAAGTTGGCTGGCTTGCAGCCAGTATGCTTAATTCCAATTTTAGTGCAAAAGCTCCACTGCTTGTAAAATATTGAGTACAAAAGATTATTTTAGCACCTAGTAAACAGATCCTACTCCATGAATAATGCCCTCACATTTCCTGACAATGTCACTTATGCAGCATAAGTCACATCATCAGAAATGGTTATATTAGCAGCATTAGTTACTATTTTCTAAATGGATTCATATACACTTACCTGAAGATTGGGAGATTTTTTCTGGTTCTAAGACCTCCAGAGCCAGGTTAGAGGCATACATTGGTATCTCAGTCTGCGTGTCAGGGGCTGGTAAATCTGTGTCTAACACAGCCATTTCTTGTTCTGGTAAGGTTTTTTGAGAGTCAATTGTAGGTTGCTCAGGCTGATGATCAATATTAGGAACCTCTTGGTTTGGTTGTGTTGTTTGTTCCTCTTGGTTTGGTGTTGATGTTATTTGCTCTTGGTTTGGTTCTGGTGTTTGTAGTTGTTCTCCTAAAACCTGTTGTGCTCCATTATCCTCTGAATTAGATTGTTGCATTTGCACTGCTTCATGTTGTGGCAATTGGAACTCCGGTTCAGGTTGTGCTTGTACCTCTTGGTTTGGTTGTGGTGTCTGCTGCTTTTGGCTTGGTTGTGGCGTTGGTACATGTTCTTCTAAAACCTGTGGTGTTCCTTGATCCTCTTTTAATTGTTGCATCTGTACTGCTTCATGTTGTGGTGGCATTTGAAATTCTTGTTCAGGAGGTGGTGTTTGTACCTCTTGGTTTGGTTGTGGTGTCTGCTGCTCCTGGTTTGGCTGTGGTGTTTGTAGATGTTCCCCTAAAACCTGTGATGTTTCATGTACCTCTGAACTAGATTGTTGCATTACCACTGCTTCATGTTGTGGTGGTATGTGTACCTCTTGGTTTTGATGTGTTATCTGCTGCTCTTGATTTGGCTGTGGTGTTTGTAGATGTTCTACTAAAACCTTGGGTGTTTCATGATCCTCTGAATTAGGTTGTTTTATTTGCACTACTTCATTCTGTTCTGGCATATGCAACTCTGGTTCAGAATGTGGTGTGTGTACCGCTTGGTATGTTTCTGATGTCTGTAGATGCTCTGGTTGTTCTCCTAAAACCTGTGGTGTTTCATGATCCTCTGAATTAGGTTGTTGCACCTCTTGATTTGGCTGTGGTGTTTGTTGCTCTTGGTTTAGTTGTGGTGTTTGTGCCTCTTGGTTGGGCTGTAGTATTTCTAAGTTTTCATGTTGTGTTATTTGGGCCTCTTTTTTTGATGGTGTTTGTATTTCTGGAGGGAGTTGTGGTATTTGTACACTTTGGTTTGGTTGTGGTGTCTGATCCTCTTGGTTTGTGTGTAGTAGTTTTACCTCCGGGTTTGGTTGCTGTGCTTGTGTATTTTGGTTTAGCTGTGGTATATGTAATTCTTGGTTGGCCTGTAATGACTGTGCATGTAACAATTGTTCTTCTATATTTGGTTGTTGTATTTGTTCATTTTGATTGAATTGTGGTATATGTACCTCTTGGTTGGCTTGTAATGGTTGTACCTCTGGGTTTGGTTGTTGTATTTGTTCATTTTGATTGAATTGTGGTATATGTACCTCCTGGTTGGCTTGTAATGGTTGTACCTCTGGGTTTGGTTGTTGTATTTGTTCATTTTGATTGAATTGTGGTATATGTACCTCTTGGTTGGCTTGTAATGGTTGTACCTCTGGGTTTGGTTGTTGTGTTTGTGCATTTTGGTTAAGTTGTTGTATATGTATGTCTTGGTTGTTTTGTTGTGATTGAGGAGAATTTTGATTAACTGATGGCGTAGGTATATCTTGTGTCGGTATACTAGAACTATCAACTACATGCAAATGTTGTCCTGTTGGTATTTCTGGCTGTGGCTCACCAACAGGAACTTTAGGCTGTTCGTCTTGTTTTAACTGATTAACAGCTGGAGTGTCAGGTTTTTGTTGCTGTAAGATAAAAAAAAATATTTCTATGACAAACATATTTTTATAAATAATAATAATAATAATAACAACAATAACAGTAACAATAATAACAATAACAATAATAAATAATGAACAATAATAATAGTAATAATAATAATGATATCAACAACAAAAACAACAATGACAACAATAATGGTAGACTTATATTGCACATTATAAGCCCTCTATGCACTTCACGTTATCATTACCCTGGTCATTGGATTAAAGGCGTATGGACACAGACTCAGCTCCCTGGGAGAGTATTCCATAACGTTGCAGCAGCTAATCAGCGCATTTTGGCATTTAACCCTACTAGGTACCTACTTACACTCCTGGGTGGAGAGAAGCAATGCAGATAAAGTGCCTTGCTCAAGGACAAAACTGAAATGCACAGCGAGGGATTGAAACCCCAACCTCAAGGTTGGGAAACCAAACCTTTTGTGCTGCACCAAACCACTTGTCCACAATTTTCAATTATGTAGACATGAAGAAAACAATGTATTATGTTTTCAAATATTATGTTATATGATATCTGTATGTTTATATGACAATTTAACTTTTTCATCTTTCAAAGAAGTGCCCATATTCTGAATGATTTCTACTTTCTTTCAAGTTTTCATTGTAAATCAATGAATGTGGCTCACCAGTGGTTTTTTGAAATGCTGTTATTTTTTTCATTTTTCCTGGTTACAACCTTTATCATTACAATAACAGCAGATGCTAACAAAATACACATTCAACATCCGCAAATTAAATCAATACACACAACTTATTAAAGCAGCTCTTTCAAAACCCAACATCATTAATCTGTACTTCTATGCATGTTGAAATTTTAATTCATCTTAAGTTGGAAATTCAGCATATAACCACCTATATGCAAATGGTCATAATAAATGTATGGCTAATAAATTTACAATAATACTAATAATAATAATAACAATAATAATAATAATAATAATAATAATAATAATAATAATAATAATAATAATAATGATAATAATATGATTTATACAGTGCACATATCCATTTAGAAAGTGCTTAAAGCACAAGAGATGGAAACATAAAAAAACTTGATCTAGAAAGCGTGGAAATTAACTCATGACATGTCCTAAACTAAAACCCAGCATCCAGCATCACTGCTTTGTTTACCAGCACTTTCAAGCCCTTCACGAGGACTAGCTGGTTCACAACTCACAAAAGCTCTAATGGTGCTGGTGTCTGACTGTCCTTGCAATTGAAAAAAAAAATGAGCTAACAAAACAGAAATGGTGAGATTACTTAAAACCAAGAACCATCACATGAGATTTCAGCGCTTGTTTAAACAAACAGCCATGTTAATAATTTTAAAAATCAGGCCAGTGGTAAATTCTATCAGGTAGTTAAATTGATGTACACATATTTGGTTCCAGCTAGGCTGTAAATCTTACTAAGGAACTGTACACCAGCTGCATTAAAATTCAATACATTCATATTTATTATTTTCTTTTTATTCAGCTCATAATATTGAATTGGATTGTTATGCCTTCTGTTGTACAAATTATCATATTTATATTTACTTTAAAGCATTAATATATAATATGGATTGCAGATAAAAAAATAATTTAAATAAAGGTAGCCAGGTACTGTATACTCTATAAATGTTTGTTCCAGTGGCTAGGAGGGACTTTTTTATACCTTGCTAAGCAAACTCTAGTTTTTAAAGACAATCAGAGGGGGGGGGGGGAATATATGAAAAGCAGTCTTCTTATTTAGCAAAATGGTTCTATCAAAAACAGTGGTTTTTCGTAAAACCTTTGAGGACGGAAAAAATTGTTGGAGCAAGTGGAATAAATACTTACATTAACTGCAACTACATGCTTTGGGCTTTCGTTAAATACTTGAACTTCTTGAAAAAAGTTCTTAGGAAAGTAACCAAACACTCCCGTCTTTCCAAGAACCTATCGGAATACAAATATCGAAACATTAAGTAATTTGTTAAAGTAAATATTAATAGGAAAGCACAAAAAGTGATCAATGAAAGAACTCCGTGTTCTCCCGAAGCCGTTTAAGCCGTCAATACCAGTAAAAATAACTGATCAACCAGTAAATATTGTGTGTTGGTAGAATAAAAAAAGCACTTATTAGGCCTAGAAAGCCTAGGCTGGCCTTCTAGTCCAGGCCTAGGCTACGATTATATTTATTGTTTTTTGAAGCCCTTCAACTCCAGTTAAAAGAGGCAATACCTCACGTTGCGTGTGCTTAGCTGGCTTTATATGGACAAATTTACCAGTAAAAGTTGTTCAATTGGGAGACTAATGCAGACTATTAATGATAATGATGTCATATCCTGTACAACCAGAAATACTTACCTCACCACCCCAAAGATCAGGCTTTGTACCAGCACCTCTTGAATAAACGATAAGGTCATCGCCCTTATTAAAACTCAGAAGATCACCATCTTCAGATTTGTGTGTTACCAATGCTTTACCTTTTGAAATTGGTGCTGTTGAAGAAAGTGTATCAAACATTATAGTAATGTTTAGATTAATCAAATAAGTCTACTCAACTGAAATTTATTGAACATACACTTTTAGATCAGGGGCACACATCAGAATGATGGGGCGTTCATTAACAATTACAAAGGAAAAAATACTTTAAACTAATTAACAAATAAAATAAATCTAAACTAAAATACGAGCAAAACAATGATATAAAAATTCAATACAGTACACAAAATGTTGTTTTGTACAGTATTTGGAAATACAACAGTTTTCTATAAAACCTTCTGAATATTATTATTATTACATTAGTTATCATTATTATTACTGTATTCTTATGTTATAATTTCATTATTACTGAATTACGTTGTATATTTACATACAATTTCCTTTTAAAAATAAAAACACTTTGTTGTTATGCAGATGTATCTTAGTCTGCACTTTCTCCCTTGTGATAGGTTAAAAATTGTTAAAGGAGTTCAGTGCAAGTTTTGTGATATTTTTTGCCATTGTATTTTTATTAATGATTTGATTTGTAAATTTTATATGTTTGATGAGAGCAGCCACTATAAAAAAAAAAAAATATCTCAACAATTTAGCAGTTTCCCATTCATATGGATTTATTAATATTTAACTTTCATAATAATTTATTACTTGTGGGGTATGGCAACAAAGGAAAGGTAATAATAATAATACACTGAATGTTCGTCAGGTACAGTAATATGCAGTATGGTAATTGGTTGTCTGTATTTGGAAGATAAAGGTAATCGTAACCCAATGATGGGCAAAGTGCCGCCCGTGGGCAGCATTGGGCTTGACAGCATATTTCTTGTGGTCCGCGAAAATGAATCAAAAACCCTATGTGTGCATCTAGATGACCCCTTGTTTTTTACAGCCCGACACCGATTATATGTAAAAAGTAACATTAAAACTGATAATAAAGCGGTGTAAAAGCAGTGCTTGGAGGTTTTTGGAAGCCCACTGGAAGCATCAAAGTTTGGATGCAGCCCTCAGTGTTAAATCAAAAGCTCACTTTGGACCTCCGACTGATTTTTATGCCCAGCTCTGCCGTACCTCAAGCTGGAATGCCAAAATCTTTTTCCTTAGCATTGAGGCCACTCACTCAAAAAGCACTAAACTCTTCCTTCTCACCAATTGTGATAATTAACAGGTTTACTGTAGATGATTATATTTTTAATGCACTATTCACTCCATGCAATTTTTTTTTAAAGGGAACACTTTTTCAGATACAAAACAGAAAAAAAGTATCTTGGAACACTACGGCCAACCACTATTCTGGCAATACCCCTATTGGGAACACTGTTTTTTGGGTCCCACAGGTGTTCCCTTAATAGAGGTTTGACTGTAATTGTTTAAAATCAGCCTATGAATAAATTTTGTTGTTATTTATGTTTGTTTAAAAAAAAGTTCAATTTATGTCCATTATTATTTTCGAAGACAAGGTTGTCACCCAAACATATTTAAAAATAAAGAGGTATTACTATAACTGTGAATTGTAAATTTTTGCACAATATTTCAAGAATTCATGTATTTTTATTACCCTATTCATTTTCTAAATTTAGATCACACAGTAAAAGATGAACAAATGCACTTTCTTGTTGATAAACAAAGAATGCACATGAAATTTATATTTTTGGGTCCTACACCTAATACACAATGGTCACACAGTTTGCCCTCTAATTCAAGACCACTTTTGGTACCTGAAAATCTGGGGTGGTCTCGGGTTTGGTCTGTGTTTTTTTCAATTTTTGTTAAAAGATTGAAGATTGTTATTTGGTTCTTTAAATGAAAAAGTAGTCTGAAATTAGAGGGGTCTTAGAGGGTTCTCAATTTGGAGGGTGCACTGTATTTTTATCATCTTGGTAGTTTCAAACATAGGCCTACTGTACACATGATCAGAACAATTATATTTTTGATAAATAAATGTGCAAATCCCACTGTATTCAGAAATAACAAGCGCCTACTACTACTAGGGCCTAATTAATATTCAGGCAGACATATTCAAGAGGTACGTCGAAGTGCATGGTAGCTAGGCCTAGACTTGGAAGGCACATCCCCCGTCGACGTTACTTCCTCGTCGAGTGAAGAGGAGGAGGCAGGCATGAAACAGCATAAAACCATTACCACCACCCACATATCACAAGCAGACTAGCCTAGCCTAGACTTACCTTGACAATTTGGATCAGTGCATAGCCGTACATCTGATAATTTAGCTGCAGAAACGTATGTAAAAAGAAATCCTAATAAACTGATGAATGCTAATAACCTCATTGAAACTAGAGTTGATATTTCTGATGGAATGTAAACGTTAACTTTCACAAACATCTTCTACGATATCCTCCTGCCTATTTTACGTTCATTTCACACGAACACGTCAACACACTGCACAATGTGTCTAGGCTTTATTTCAGCCGCCAGTAATTCAATAAATTGTATTATTATGAACTCGTAGTTTTTTCAGAGCTATATAGTATGTGGTAATTTATATATAAATATTCCTGACAGCAAACCGGATAGTTTTCTTTTCTTTTCGTCTAAAATTTCAATCTATCATGTGTATTAGGGCGCACCAGTGACCAGATAACAAGCCTACAATTTATAAACAAAGTCAAAGTTCAATATGGAAAAAGGACCCAATAGTACGAATACTAAAAAGACGTATTAACGCCAATCCAGTGAGCGCAATTATCCGTAGTTAGTACTATTGAGAGTATAGACAATTCGCTACCAACAGAGCGTTCTGATCAAGACGTGAATCAGTTTTGAATTTTATATGGCTAGTTGTTGCTGCAATTATAAGTTTCAGTGTTGCTCCTATAGGCCTAGTAGTATGTATTTGTAAAGGTAAAAAATGCACCTTGTCCTTTGTATTATTGATGTGAACAAGAGAAATTCAATCAGGTACTGTGCAAATCGTCTTTAACTGATCTATTCTAAGCCTAGGCACCAGCCCGTATTCTGTAGCTTCATTCAGCATTCTTTCAGCGGCAGCAGGGTGAGTGGACGGTAACAACAGTAGTTGCTTGCATCTTTGACTGGGCCTAGCCTAGGGCAGGTTGTTTGCATACCGACAAGTCACAAGGTCTTCTTAAAATATAAATAAAGTGGTGGATGTATATTATTTACTTAGCTTATCTAGGCATATCTATATCATCATCATTGTTGTTGCACTGTCTGTATTCAGAATGAATCACTCTGGGATTCCTAGATGTTTTCCTGATGCAAACACATCCAGGTAGGCCTAGGCTAGCATAGCATAGCATTTGCAGTACCCACTGCTACTTGGGATCGGATTCAACTCTAGTCACTAATAGCGCAAGCTCGGTAGTCTAGTGGTTATGATGCCAGGCTAGTAATTTAAAGGTTGTAGGTTCGATTTGGTTAATGGACAAAATGACAATAAACCAAAACGGTTTTGGTACTTGTCATTTCCATTTTGTTTTGGTCTGTTGTTGTTTTGGTACCTGTCATTGTTGTTTTGGTTCATTGTCGTTTTGGTTAATGCTGTTTTGGTCATTGCCGTTTTGGTTTATTGCTGTTTTGACCTGCTACTGAGCTGTTCAACTGATCAAAAGGAAGGAAATTTGAGACATATTGTGTCTTGACATACATGTATAGTACTTACAATCTCTTGAATGAATATGAATTATGATATATAGTTATTCAAAACCTTAAATTTCATAATTTTATTTTTCAGGTTCCTTAACTTTCTGATAGCATTTAAGAATTGAATTTATAAGGATGGTGAATTCTGACAGTGGTTACCATTCTCCAGATAGTGAAACAAACAAAATGAAATTTTCAATTTGCACCTTGTTCTTAACTTTGTATGTTTGGATATTACCAATACAAGTATTATCTGGGGATGTTAAACCAAGACATGAAGTCTATACCCCTGATTACAAATTCTACCACAATTTAACAAAAATAAAACTTCATATTGAAGACTTATTATCAAAGAACCCAGGTTATATACGGCATTATACTGAGTACGAGTCGAGAAATGGTGCATCACAGTTCGTTCTCAGGATTTCAAACTTCTCAGACAGTAAGATGGCCTCACATATGTATACCATTGCCGATCATAAACCTAGGATTCTACTTTCCTTCGGAGAACATGCAAGAGAATTTCTTCCTATTGAAAGTTTGTTTCATCTGTTGACGAATCTAACAAGCGGACTGGCCACTCCTAGGGGTTCAAATACGGAAGCATTCTCAAGAAAAGTCCTGTCGCAGATAGACTTATTTGTTATAGTGATGGCTAATCCTGACGGTAGAAAACACATAGAACGTACTTATAATTATTGTTGGCGAGGCACAAGTGTTGGTGTCGATCTTGATCGCAACTTTGAATGGGAGTTTGGCGGTAAAGGTAGCTCGGATGATCCGAACGATGAGGAATATCGAGGACCATATCCATTTTCAGGTAGTTGACCATCAATCATGTTTTCTAACTACATGTTTTTTTCTAGATTTTTTGATGATATTATTATTTTAATATTATCTTTATCATCATCCATTGTTTTTTCATGTAATTTAATTTTTTTTGTTACAGCTCATGTACATTCTAATGGCAATTAGGCATGACAACCAATCAGAGAAGTGTATTTCTGGATGTTTATAAGTTCCACAGGCATTGACAACTCCCAAAGCCAAACCACTGCACACTATTGTATAGTAATGGTCATCATTTATTTATTTTTTCAGAACCTGAAAGTTTTGTTTTTCGTGACCTTACAAAGCGCTACCATTTTGACATGTTCGTGTCATTTCATTCTGGGATACGGCAAATCTTTTTACCATTTGCAGGTAAGTGTTTTTGATTATTTGATGGTGCTGGCTAATTATTGCTACCTAACTGTATGTCAGTATGTTGTGAAAGGCCTAAATTTCTATCATCTTTATCCATTATCCCCTTACATTACCACGTTCATCACTTTAGATTCTGTTTCGAAGAGAGAGAGTCGCATTCCCAGCAACATGGATGCTCAACTCCATCTAGCATCCAAAATAGCAAGGGCGGCGGTTGCAGATTTTAACTTTGGTATTGGTTACAAATTAAATAGTTATCCAGCGGATGGCACAATATATGACTACATGTCGGGAATAATGAAGGTATTGTAAGCTATGGAAAGCTAATCTTTTTCTACATACAACTTGTCATTGATGAAAGATTAGTGCTGTTTCAAAAAAAACTTTATAATTACTTTTAATTCTATTACTTTTCTATTCATTACCTATTAAGTTTATATATTTTGTGTTGCGCTAATTAACCTTAACAATACATGGAATAAAATATAGCTACCAGTTAAAAATTAACATATAAAACATGCCAAAACAGACCGTAGACCTAGGGAAAGCTGAATTTTTTTAAATTTTTGTTTCATTGAAGTTTGTAAATTTTTTTTAAAGTAAAGCAAATAAATGTTTTTGTTTTTAATTGTTGACAGTTCTCTAGATTCTACCCCAGAATTTGTTAAATTTGAATAAGTTTACATCTGGTGCATCTTGTTCTTTCTAGATAAGGAAAAACAATAATTTATTTTTTATGGACAATGCCTAAAAATAGCTTAGCTTTTCATGGGATTTTTTTTATAAGTTAAATTTTATTCACTAATATTTAACTCTGTGTGATTTTCCTCCAGATTCCTTTTTCTTACACAATAGAAATTTGGGGGCAAGGAGACCACAAGGGGGCACAGTGCTTTGACTTATTCAACCCACCAAATGAAAATTTACAGGCAAGTTAATCAATAGTAAACTAATCTATATTAAATTGTTTTGGTTTTAACAGTCTGGTTTAATTATTGCTCATTTCATTCTTATCTTACCTGTATTTTTTTTTTGTAGAAAGCAGTATCTGATTTGATGCCAATTTATGAGACAATTTTCGACTATGTTATTAAATGGAAAGAGCAGCAAATTCACCAATACTTTCATATATCACAGGTAAGTCTACCATATTTCAGTCTTGCTAAACCAGGGTTCACTGGGTTGTATGACGGTAGTACTATCGTCGCTCAACAAATCCAACTTCTGGCTGTCGGAACGGATCATCATTAAAAATGATCTGCTGTGTGCGCGTCGTCGCGTTGCTTTCTTTATAGCATCGCGTTGGCTGACAGACGCAGTGTGTGCCCGTCTGAATGGTTAAAAGTTAATGATACCTCACAAGGCAACACCCTGATCACATGTTTTTGTATAGATTTTTTTAAACATTTCATCACCATCTTGATTTATAAATTTTTTAACTTGGTTCAAGTTCTGGGGAGTTTAACAGACATAAATACTATTTTATATTAAGTATTATATTTTGGTTTTTATTTTAGGAACCAGCGTTTGCTGTTTCCATGGGTTATATACTTTTACTAGTTGTCTTCCTTCTGTTCCTGTTGGTCATGTTCCAGCATAAACTTCCGATAAATTTACGACCATTTAACCGCAGAAGAGTCGTCAGTCTTCGCTCACTTAGTTCAACATTTTCAGTTGTCGGAGGGATCAAGATAACCTGATGTAATGTCAGTGATATTCCACCAATTGGCAAAACACCCTCTGCAACATTCCCGAAGCTCATTCCTTTAAACTAAGAAGTATATTTCAATTTCGTTTTAGTTCTAACATTAAAATGCTTGTTTTATGATGTTATTGCTTTAAATTTTAAGTTAAAGATGTATATTCTGCCAAAAAAAAATGTCAGTTAAATGATGGTAAAAATTTTTTCTCAAAGTTTTAATTGTACAGTAAAACGTCCATTTTACGAATGTCAATTTTACGAGTAGTCGATGTTACAAATGGTCTTGGCGCTTGATGACGTTATCATCGACCAATTAATACCATAAAAAAAGTCTGATTGCACACGTTTTACAAAGTGATAATGTATATTTTTCTTAATATAATCAAGTTTGTTGTATTTATTAATAGTTCAATCTTTTCTTCCATTTGTGGTATAATAATCGTTATTAATGTAATAAACCTAACCAGAATAATGAACTACCAACACAAGTGTCGTTGGATTGAGCTCACATGTTTACAATGACGAACTAGACTGTTGGGGTCAGCAACTTATTGACATCGTGAATGCTAGATATGATCGCGAATGCATGTAAACAACATAATTCGGCGATCTAACAACTAGAAAGAACACAATAGAAAGGTCCATAAAACATACAGATGTTTGAATAAGAGTTAAAATAATATTTTGTTAAGTGGAAGAATGCTATCGATTACAATAATTTGGTTTTTTTCTAAGATAAATTCAGCTAGGCTCTAGTGCGGTAGACCACACTGCTGCACTGCTAGGCCTGGCTGCCGTCAGCCTATTGGCACTCAATGGCAGGGGATAGCTAGGCCTAGGTATTGGAAACTGATACCCGATTTAGTTTACAAATTTTTCAATTTACGAAAACCCCTTGGTACCAAGGGGTACGTAAAATGGACGTTTTACTGTATGTCAATAACTTATTAAAATATATAAATTAGGCCCCTCATATATGGAATAAGCCAATTCATAGTTCAAAACATGCATCCCCATATCAAGGTTGATCAACATAAACGAGCATACACACAGCACAGGCTTATGTCTATTGTCCTTGACTAACCATGGTTCAAATCACAAATTGGCTTATTGAATATTTTTGTTTTGTATATATATAAATATATAATCTTAAATATATAACTAACACAATAGTGAAGTAATATTTTTAATTAGAAAAATTAGGTAAGGTAATATATATTTATTGAAAACTTTAAAAAGTGACAGTAACATTATTTATATACATTTATTTTTAAAAATATATTACTCTGGTACTACTATAGACTGTTTTGACTTGAAAATGCCTGCCTTAACCACAACCACCCAATATGCTAATTTAGACAATGAAATTTTTCAAATAACTATTTTTAAATATTGTAATTTAAAAATATTTTCTTTTCTGTTTCGTTTTCTTCGATCCTATGCTACTTAAGCAATACCCTAGGATGTCATTTTTAGGTGATCAATTTTAATGTTGATTAATATTTTATATCTTGTATTATATTTAATGCGCATATAAGACACTGTGGCTCATATGCTCATGAATGCACTATTATCGGCGACATAAATTCCCGAAGGGTGTGGGAGGGGGGCATGATTGCCGACGATCCACATTCACCTCCGCTAAGTTGAACAAATCTGAACAAATAGGCACCTAAATTTTTGGCTCTCTTGCCCAAATGGAGGTCCAGGTTTCCCAAATAGGTGTCATGTTTCTCCAGACTTCTCACTGGTGTTGCCACTGTGAAGCTTTGTCTACACTATCAAATTTTGTGTAACAAAAAAATGTGATGTGCCCATATATGGGTACGATGATGTCATATCACATATCAAATTGTATCAAAATATGTTGAACGTGTTCAGCTCTTATGTTCCATCACATTTTATGTGACACTTTTTTTGATGAAATTTTATAGTATAGACCAAGCTTAATACACTATTTTAAATATATATTAATACAATAAATTAATATGTTCCATTGTTATGCTGCATTTTGGTTTTCACTTTACATTATTTTTCTTTTCTGTAGTTTTTGACCAGCAAGGTGTTATTTGGTATAGGTAAAGAAAAGAAGCCAGTAAAGTTTTAATAAAAAAAACTGTAATTTCAAAATTACTACACTGCCAAAGTATAAAATTATAATGAATTAGGTGGCTATTTTAGCTGCAATGAAGTAATGATAACAACAACAACAGGAGAGGCATCAACAGCGATGATGATGACAATAATAATAATACTGTAAATAATAGGTTATTTAAAGTACAGTACCTAATTGTGGTCATATTCATGCATAATAAGCATGTTTGGATAAGCTGTGATTGGCTGCCTTACTGTTAAATGGATCTTTCCGGGGTGTCAATCAAACAACTGACCAATCAGAATAAGGCTAGGAATACGCGCTTCTCACAAGCATTATTGTCCCACAAAATCGCGTGTGTTTCGTATGTTTTTTACACTGTAGTTTTGTGCGACCTTAGCAACAGTAACCAAGGGGCGGGACTTCGCGAAATGGTCTTCTTTCATTGACTGTTTGTGGGTCGAAATTTTGTGAACGATCTGTTCAAAAGAAAATATGTAATAACGAACAGTATATATACGAAAATAAGAGCAATACTATATTGTGGAATTATTACTTTTATTAATATATATTATAAATATTACTTTATTATCTTTACTGTATAATCAAGAATGAAGCACATTGCCAATAAATTGATTGTTAATTGTAGTGCTTATTAGGGGTGAAGGAAATGTCTAGTAATGTATGAAGTAACTCACGATTATGTCTTTTAACCAAATTTACAGTACTCGTAGTTAGTACGATATTTTTATATCACCCACAAACAAACATGAGGCTATTATTTTGCCATGATGAATGGCGTTTACAGTGTCGATGACGTATGGTGCGTTTTAATAAATAATAATCATAGAGATTCAAGAATTGATGATCATGCCTAGTGTGAATAGGAGAGTAATTTTAGTATTTTTGAAATTAAAAGATCGGACAGATTATTAATTGTTTTCTTTGATTACTTCTTTGAAGTGGGTTGTTGGTTGATTGATTGATGGATTGATGATATCTATTTTTTATATACTGTGTCAACTGCAATATCATCGCATAGTGGCGGCGCCAAAGATACAAATTTCCCCAAGGTCCTCCCTGGCAGGGAATCCAAAGCTTCGACAGAGATTCTAGTCTCACCATGGTTGGAGCAACTGCCAAATTTAATAGAAACGGTGATGTCGAAAGGGATTAATGAAATAATAGTAGTATTAATAATTTTTTTTTTTTTTTTGTTGCATCTCCAAAACCACCGAGTTAGGGTAGAAAAAAGAAAAAACAACTGCTAACTAATTTATATACCATCGGGATTAGGCATAGGTCAAATGATAAAGACAACAAAGTGGCAATGTATACGATTTATCAAGGAAGAACCTTTATTGGAAAAAACGGCTTTTTTTGAAGAAAAATAAAATGTATATAAACTTAATCGTAATCCAAATATTGGCATATATTTTAAAATATACTTTATTCTGTTTTTTTTCCCTTTACTGTTTGTTTATCACTATACTCAATTTGCGTTGGTTTTTGAAAACAATAATTTAGACCTTTATAAGTCTCATAAATTTGTTGGTTGTTTACATATCATTTAACATTGACCTCGACAACCACCAATTCATCTCTATGGATTTCGAGAAGTTCGCATAAGGCACTAAGTAGATTTGATTGTGGATTTCTCAGTAAGACGGATGCATTATAAGATAGTGTTAATACTCCCAGCACGCGTTCTGGAAAGTCCTTACGAAATTTCATCTGTGCACCTCGTTCAATTAGTCTTTCAAATTTCTCTTCAGGACAGTGGATCCAGTTCACGTGTAGACCACTGTTTGTCATAAAGAAAGCCTTCATAGTGTAAATGATCAACTCTGTCGTATGCCCACAAGATTCAATCATCCTGGGATTCCATCTGCAGTACAGGGCAACGTCCACAGACGGGCTGGAGAGTGTTGCAACCTTTAAGTATTCTTTCATAATGCGATATTGTTTTTCTATCTTAGCTTCTAGTTTTGAGTGTAGTATCTTTTTCCGAAATGAAAATGAAATTGGGACTACCTGATTCTTTTTCTTTTTTATTTTCTTTTTCGGAATGTTTATTAAATCAGTTTTGTCGCATTCAATCAAATGGGCTACAACCGCATGGTCGTCATAAGGGCGATGTTGAAAGATTTCACTGTGGATTACTTGCTCATCAATATCACTATCGTCCTCATCACGACACTCGATTACTCGTTGTGAGTTTATTCCATGTGTTTTTTCTGAGTAACGCTGGGAAGTGTTCAGATCGACTTCATTTCCCTCTGTAACGTTTGCCAATTCCATGACTTGAGTATGTGGACTGTAACATTTATCATAAATTACCGGATCATCGACCGAACAACCGCTTTTACTCTCCCTACATTTATGCATCCCTTTTGAGGCTAACCTATTCCTAACTCTGCCAAACCGTTTTTGAAGCATTTCCAATTGGTTTTCTAAAATTGATTCTGTCGAAGTTTCTTTCAAAACAGCGTTCAATCGCGAAGTTCCACGTGACTTTTTTTCTTTTTTGAGGTTGTTTGCAGGAGATGACGCAATTACAGTTTCCTTGAAGCCCACGGGGATGGCTACAGATTTCGTATCGTTTGTGAAAGAGTCTTTAGAAACTGAATCAGAAGTTAACGAATTTACCGATGTGTTGACGGCGTTTGCCACTATCAAGGCAGCCGAAAAAAGACGTTTGCTCTTTGGTGGTACCCGAACTACAGAGAGAGTGTCATTAGATAGTTCATATGAATCGATCATTAACGTTTTCACCGTCTCTGTTAATGTCGATCTTTGTGGCAGAAAGCTGAAGTCACTGAACTTAAAAGTGTCTGTAGTTTCCTCGAATAATTGATTCTCCTTCAACGAAGGGAGCTGTTCAGCATGGAGTCGCTTTTGTCCAACCACGCTCGACGACTCTGGATGCGGCGAAAACTCAGTAACAGTACCAGCAGCAAAGCTCGGTGAGGCTTTCAGAAGATCAATTTGATGATCGTGCTCGTGAGCGACTGACACAACAAAACCGTGAACTATATTATCCAATGTCTTTGGCTTGGAATTACCTTCTCTCTGGCTCATTACCAATCGTATTCACATTCCGCGTCTGTTGAAGAAAAAGACATACGTTTACCTTGGATAGGCTTTATTCAGGGCCGTAGCCACCGGTACGGTTGGTAAGGTTTTAACCTGACCACTTTTTGACAGACCACAAATTAATTAATTAATTGATATTACAGTCTAATATGACCACAACATAAGGAACATCCACTCTGTAAATGTTTAGCATAATATTAATGTACAGAGAATTTCGATTGATTATCAATATCATACTTATGTTAGATCCAAATCACCTTTTGATGCAAGCACCGACGAGGAAAGATTAAACATAATAATTTTGATATGTACATGTTTTATGTTATGTGTTGATTGGTCTTAGTTAATAATCAGTTTAATGGCTTAATGTTAATAATATTACAGTTTAATGGTTTACAATAATATTACAGTTTAATGGTTTATTGGCCCCGGAAACCTGACCCCCGACCTGGGGCTCTCGGCGGCCCCCTAGCCACAATCATCAGTGCTCGCGCTTCGCTCGCAACCTGACCACTTCATTCAATTCTCGTGGCTATGTACGGCCCTGATTTATTGAAAGCTCTTTAGGAGAGTTTACTGAAGACGTCTTAACGGACGTATATGCTATGCTGTCAACACATCTTCTGTTCTCGACAGGTCTAATAAGCTAACCACCAAATAACATTGTTCTTTTAAGCCGGCCAGTCACTGCGTCGTACGACCAACTCTTTTCCCTGTGAGCGCTAGACGACGCGACGCCGTCTGCTGATTGTCGACTGTGGCAGTCTGTATGGATCGTCATTAAAAACGATCCGTTGCGCGCGCGTCGTCGCGTTGTGTTTTTCATAGAATCGCGTCGGCCGACGACCGTCGATCGCATTGAGTGCCCGGCTTTAATGGAGGTTTTGTCGTATTAACAGAATTAGGTTGTTATTTTATAACAGTGAATGCAAAAAAAAAAACTGTCCTTGTTTTTTATACACTTGAATAAGTTTTAGTTAAGCAGTGACATTGGTTAACATTTAAGTACTTGTGACCTTTTGATTCTCAATGAATTAGACGATCTGTAATGACTGTCAATAAAAATAATTACAATCGATTATATTATTAGAGTCAACATCGGTACCAGTAAAAGTCTTAACATGTGTGTTTTTTTGAGCGACGCAGAGTGCCATTGTTGTGAGAGAGATCGTTCCATGATTTCGAAGTAGAATAACATGGAATAGGCCTATTTGATTTTATTGGAGGGTTTATGTTTTGTAAATATATTTTTATCTTCAATTGGGTTGTAAATATATATCCACAGATTGATGAATCAAGTTGGATGTCAGTGAAGCTCAGCTCAGCGGTGGCGCCAGAAATTTGCCGACAGGGGGGTTCGACATGTCCGCCGGAGGGGCCCGAACCAAGTGGCCGATTACAACCTCGGCGGTCGACGGCCCGGAATAAAAAAATATCCCTGGGTTCATTAGGAGAGTTTGTATGGGTTAGTAAAGACCTACTAACCGACGACCTAGACTTGGCGTTGGACGACAGGAGGGAGGAGGGGGTACAGACAAATTCCCCTGGCCCCGCTGGCGCCACTACTGGCTCAGCTGCAGAAGAAGCGAAGATGCATACTTATTTTTAGTAGTTTACTTCGTCGCCTATATGAGGAGCTCAATAGAGTTTGATATGTAGAATGTGAAGTGTTTTATCTGCATGTGTTTTCATTCATTCTACCACGGGATAGCTTTTAATCAAACACAAATGACAGTGTTAAAACGGAGGTTACATCATATACCAAGGATTTTATAACAATACATAGAGGCCTATATTATTATTATTATTATTATTATTATTATTATTATTATTATTATTATTATTATTATTATTATTATTATTATTATTATTATTACAATACATAGGCCTAATTTAATTTAAAAACCAATTTCCAGGCAGTTTCATACATTGAAATCGACGATTGATTTCAAATGCTACGGTGGTTAGGCATGTCTCTGTGATAATCCCAAATCCGCATTTGCTTTAGTTAGTGTTAGTGCTTTAGTTGTTGAAACTCTAGTAGCCTGTCATAAAATGAAACTTACTGTTTTGGTTTTTATTTCGTTTTTTGTTTTTACGTTTCATGTTTGTCTATGTTAAAGGCTTTATACGGTAAATTTTAATTAACAATGTGCCTAATATTAACAATAGGCGTATTATTATTATTATTATTACTATTATTATTATGATAATGATGATGATGATGATGATTATTATGATTATGATTATTATTATTATGATGATGATGATGATGATAATGATAATGATGATGATGATGATGATGACGACGACAATGATGACGCTGATGATAAATGATAATGATATATTAGCAGGCCTAATAGGCCTAGGTATAGTAATTTAACTTATATAAAACATTCAATTTCTGTGGATGAAATACACGACATACGTATAATTTAACCCACGAAAGTCTACAAAAGTTAATATATTTGCCTATCGATTTTTGTTAAAACAATAAGCTTTTCATTGACGAAACGGACGTTGAAAAAGAAATGTGTGAAAACAAAACGTGATATCATTAAGAATTTATACGACGGATCGAAAGTGTAAACGTATTCAATACTAAACGCCGTGGAGGTCCTAACAGCCTGAACATCCTAGTGAAAATTAGCTTGACAAGTTGATAGGCACTAGGCTAAGGCTTGCATTTATAACTTACCAGTGGGCCTAATACTAAGGCAACTGGAAGAATAACACAGTCGTAGAGGCCTCCGTAGTAGACTCGTCACTGTTGCACTTTGGTTAAAAAGGTGGTTTCGGCTACAAAACAATCGTACTTGAGAAATGTATGCCTTTATCAAGGACGTTAATGACACTAGCCTAATCAGCAGGGCGGCATACGTAACACATTTTTTTCTGTTATTTGAAGCCTCCTAACCTAAGCCTATAAATGCACGATTCTGATGGTGTAAACTTGGGGGTATTATAAAAGACAGTCATGCTTTCTTTGTCTATGTTTATTGTTATCCAACTACATTTTCTACCACAAAGTTGCAGACTAAACCGAGGACGGTAAGTTAAAAGCGTTCAATTTGATGATGATGATGATGATGATGATGATGATGATGATGATGATGATGATGATGATGATGATGATGATGATGATGATGATGATGATGATGATGATGATGATGATGATGATGATGATGATGATGATGATGATGATGATGATGATGATGATGATGATGATGATGATGATGATGATGATGATGATGATGATGATGATGATGATGATGATGATGATGATGATGATGATGATGATGATGATGATGATGATGATGATGATGATGATGATGATGATGATGATGATGATGATGATGATGATGATGATGATGATGATGATGATGATGATGATGATGATGATGATGATGATGATGATGATGATGATGATGATGATGATGATGATGATGATGATGATGATGATGATGATGATGATGATGATGATGATGATGATGATGATGATGATGATGATGATGATGATGATGATGATGATGATGATGATGATGATGATGATGATGATGATGATGATGATGATGATGATGATGATGATGATGATGATGACGACGATGATGATGCTGATGATAATGATAATGAAAGATTAGCAGGCCTAATAGGCCTAGGTATAGTAATAATAATTTAACTTATATAAAACATTCAATTTCCTTGGATGAAATACACGGCATACGTATAATTTAACCCACGAAAGTCTACAAAAGTTAATATATTTGCCTATCGATTTTTGTTAAAACAAGAAGCTTTTCATTGACGAAACGGACATTGAAAAAGAAATGTGTGAAAACAAAACGTGATATCATTAAGAATTTATACGACGGATCGAAAGTGTAAACGTATTCAATACTAAACGCCGTGGAGGTCTTAACAGCCTGAATATCCTAGTGAAAATTAGCTTGACAAGCTGGCATTAGCCTAGGATAAGACTTGCATTTAAAACTTACCAGAGCCTAATCTAAGGCAATTGAAGAATAACACAGTCGTAGAGGCCTCCGTGGTAGACTCGTCACTGTTGCACTTTGGTTAAAAAGGTGGTTTCGGCTACGAAACAATCGTACTTGAGAAATGTATGCCTTTATCAAGGACATAAATGACACTATACGTGAACACATTTTTTTCTGTCATTTGAACCTCCTAACCTAAGCCTATAAATGCACGATTCTGTTGGTGCAAACTTGGGGTATAATAAAAGACAGTCATGCTTTCTTTGTCTATGATTATTGTTATACAACTCCTACATTTTCTACCACAAAGTTGCAGACTAAACCGAGGACGGTAAGTTAAAAGCGTTCAATTGTATAATCGATACTTACCATTTGTTGCTGATAGAAGAGACAAAACATCCAGGGTTTTAATCGTAGGCCTAATAACCTTTTCATTCAAGTCTGTCCTTGTTTAATGACTGTGTCAGTTCCGTTTTAATTCGCTTATGTTGAAATTAGTTTACACATGAAAAAGACGCACTGCGTCTTTCTTCATCGAACGTAATAAGAATGCGCACTAAAAAGTACGTAAATAACGCTCCGCTTGAGGGAGCTATACACGAATTCGTCGTTAGAGCACGATTATCGTTATCGACACATGTTTTTTGTTTTTATGGTCGACTTGTTTACCCGTGATTACGAAATAGAGATTGTTTATCATCTGTGAACATGGACCCCGTTGGTGTTATAAAAGCAGGGGATTCTGTAATATTAAAACGAGGAAATGATCTGAAATTGATGAAGATTTTTAGAAATAGGTTGGTTGAAAAGAAAACATTAATACATACCTAGGCTAGGCCTGCCTTTTTTCTTAAAAAGCACAAAGGACTGTGTCCTGGTGAGCGAAGTAATCAGACAGACGTAAACATCCTCTTGCAACACAGGAAGTGATCATTTGTCGCTCTAATTCAACAATAACGTATTGAGTAGATTTGGCAGATTTTACAGTTCGTTATACAATCGTTAAAGATGAAACTTGGCACAGATGAGAAATGAATCACGTGTAGGCGGAGAGCAATAGATAAAATATAAATGAGGGCTAGGCCCTAGACTAGTAGGCCTACGCCTGCTGTACTACTACTACTACTAGCAGGGGTTTAGCCAGAAAAACGAAATAGGCCATCTAAAATGGAAGCCAGTGGGCGTGGCACTGAGCCGATAGGCGGGCCACGCCCATCTTTTGGAATCCCTACCGAATATTGGTACGAAAACAACGTACATTCAATCAATAAATGTTGTTTTTTTATCAAACATTCGATCAATAAATGTTGTTTTTATCAAACTTATATTTGATTTAGCATTAGATTAATGTAACTGTTGTAACATTCAATAGATTTGAAGAATATAAAGAATTTGCTAAAGGTAGACCAGGCCCAATTAGGCTAGGTCGAGCTGATTAGGACAAGCTGTGCAAGCCGTCACGGTAAAAGTGGCCGTTCTAAATAGCTAAACCTGTGACTACTAGTACTAATATATTACTACTCACTAGTAGAGTTACCTTAGTAAAATATTTCAATATACTTATTTTGGAGTTGGTTTGCGGTAGTATGGTGTGGGGGGGTGGGTTGGTGGTTAAGTATGATTTTGAGATCATAACACCTAAAAAGTTTGATTTTCTAATCTGGTAAATAACAATCATTTTACTTCTGTTCAACTGTGAAAGACAGGTCTCCTCCTTATTAATAACCCCTCCAATTTAAGAACACTTCTCTGTGGTCCCAAATTCACAAATATCTTTTATCTTTATTATTCTAATTATCTGCTAAAGACTATGAAAACCGTGGTCCCAGAAGTGGCCTTTAATTGGAGGGAGACCTGTATTATTATAATAATTTTTATCCGTATTAATACTAATAGTCCTAATTTTGTTCCCAAAAATCACTTCATTCCCCTCAGGAATATTTTCCTTTCGAAGAGGAACTTTAGTATTGACCCTGCCATTGGCAAACCTTACGGAACAGTGTGGGATGTGGTTGACAGAACTATAAAACAAGTAGAATCTGAACAGAAAGAACAAGGTAAAGAATATTAAATGATCATTCTGAATAATCATCGCTGTCAGTGTGACATTATTATCAATATGATTACTGTATTATTTGACCTGATCATTATCATCCTCATTCAAGATTGCTGTAATTTTCCATTAAAAATAACAGAAATTAATTTGAAACCAAACGAAAGTTAAAAGGGTACACTCAATCCAATTCTTAAAATCGGCAAACATACTTTAGAGCTTATAAATAGAAATATATATAAAACTGCCTAATTTAGACAAATTTTAAATTATTTTTTTAGAATCTGAAGGTAGCTCTGGCGGACATGACAACAGGTCGCTTGTTGATGATGGACGATCGCAACGCCTGACAAGAGACGACATAGTAGCTATGAAATCTCAAGGTGTGCAAGGACAGGTGAGGTGGTAACCAATCATATGCATTAAGAATGTATTACTTTCAGAGGGCACAAGTCATGACAGTTTCCCGGAAATCAATAAGGAATTTCCCAAAAAATAACCCATCTTTTGCAAATTCATGATATTAGAATACTTTTACTACTTTCAACTACCTGTATCAATTGTCTCCCTGACGGGGAGCCTTGTCTCCCCGACGGGGAGCCTTGGCCCCCTTCCCCCACCCGCTGGCGCCACCCATGGCCAGTACTGATGGATATCACAGTGCACAGCAAAATACAATTAGATGTTTTAAAAAAGCTCGTTTAAACAGCTCTCCCGGAAGATACTTCATGCTGTGTTGTTATTTTCCCCATTTTCAATGTTAAAATAAAAATTTTTAATGATTTGTTGATGGTTTCTGCCTGAGAAATTCCTGAAATCGTAAACTTTGAAAGCTGATTTCTCAAATATTGTTGTTTAAACAGCTGTATGTTTGTAATTTCATAACAAAATGCTGGATTTAAATGATTCTTTTACCATTTTACTGTTTACCCGGTTTTAATAACTAATAACTGATTTTTGCGAGGAGTGACTGGTTTGGCTTTGTCTTTTCCGCATATACTGAACATTTATTTGTCTGTATAAATACTACATCTAGGCCTATAGTATATGAAATTGGTGCCCCCTCATTTAAAAATTCTGGATCTGTTTCCAATTCAGGAGCTGGTTGAGCAGATTGTGGAACACAGCACAACTTTCAAAAGCAAGACAGTGTTCTCACAAGCAAAATATCTAAAGAAGAAAAAGAACAAGTAAGCAAACTCCATAAATAAATAACAACATAATATTCATTTTGAAATACCATTCGGTGTGCAAGGCAAATCTGGGAGATTGATGATGCAATACCGCCTGTAGTTTTGTCAAGGCAGACTGACCAAACTGTCATTAAAAACAGTCCAATATGTCCACCTATGGTTGTATTTGACATTGGTTTGTTCATTTTTGTTTCAGACATCTGTTGAGATTCCGGATACTAAGACCGAGCATAAGACTGCTGTGTGATGCGTACATGTTGAAAGGACCTTCAAAAAACCTGTAAGTACCAGGACAAGCTCGAAGTAAGTATTGAATGTTTGCATGGCGAATTGAAATTAATAAATAATTACAGGTTTTCGGTGCATCATATGCCAAACCTATAATTAGGACAAGTTCATTTTTTGTAAATAAATCAAAATTGAATTTTAAAGATTGATTGAATTTGAGTGTATATATCTACTGTATACAACTTGTGCAGCATTTTTTGTGATACTGTCCCACAACTTTAGGTGTTTGATTTTGCTCTGGTTACGTGCGTGTGCAAGTAATCGGCGGTAACCAGAAGTGGCGTGTGCGAGAGCAGTTTGGCGCAGTGGAAATGGTTTGGATTGCCAACCTCGAGGTCGGGGTTTCAATCTTTTGCTGTGCATTTTGCTTGTGTCCTTGAGCAAGGCATTTCATCAACATTGCTTCAGTGTACCCATCCGTATCAATGGTACGAGCAAATTGCTGGGAATAACCTGTGGTGGAATAGCATCCCACCCAGATCGAGCATCACTCTTATATCATCTGCTTGACACTACTTGAAACTGGAGATAAGATCCATCCCTACAGTATGAGCCCCAGAGGTTTGGCAAGAATTTACTTACTTGCTTGAGCACTTGGGTACAAAACTCATCCTTGTTGTTGGTCAAGGGAATAAGTTGTTACTTGGTAGATTAACTGCAACATTATGAAATACTTGTTCAGGGAGCCGTGTTCCAAAAACATTTACTTTAACAGGATGGTTATGGTTGCACTTTGAACTTGGTTTTGCTTTCATTTCAGAAAATCAAAATCCAGTAAAAATTCACATTTTTGTTTTCCTGTGTAGATACATAAGAATGGACACTATGTCACAGATTTTAACTCAAGGAAATATACAAGCTGGTTTAAATGTCCTGCTTGTTGAAACGTGTCAGGGCTTGCTGTTGAGTGCAGTGGTGGAGAGAATGGCTGGTGAGTTAACTTTCATATATTAATATTAATAATTTGAATATTCCTAGTTACTGTTAAGTTCTGAGGATCTGATTTCTTTTCAGTTCTTAAGCCTATTGTTAATCATTTTGCCAATGTAGGATTTTTTTTTTCCTTAAATTTTAAACTCTTGTGATTGGTGTGCTGCTGGGAATTTTTCCAAAATATATGAACAAATTTGTGACGGTTAGGTCAGGTAGCTTTTGGTTTTATTTTGCAGGCCATGGGAAACTTGTACAAATCCACTCGGAAGACATTCCTGTTCGCCAGGCATTTGACTCTTACAACTTTCCTGAGGAATACAAAAAAGTAATTCACTCGTTTCCAATGAACCAGGTGGCAAGTATCTTTCAGGAGGAGGTGGAGGAATGCAAAATGGATGAAGAGGTGTCCGTTTCAAAAAAGCAAAGATTAGAAGGGGAGCCAGAATGTAGTGCGCCCTCATTGGCTGAAAGGAATGAACCCAGTGAAGAAGGTGATGAGAAGGCCGACAGTGAGCAAATGGTCTGCGATGAAAAAGATGTACCAAGCGAAGACCAATCATGTGAAAATGTCAAGCAAACGCAAATGGTATACAGTATTATTATAATAGATTTTTTAAAGTCTCATTTATGTTTATGTCATAACTTTATTATGTAAAGATTCATGGCTCTCCATCTCTATAATTGGCTTTGCTCTAGTTGTTTGTTAATGTTATTCATATAAAACCAAGCAACAAAACATTTGTTAATTATATTTTATTGTTATTATAAAATACCAATCATGATATTGTTTTCGAAAAGTAAAATGATATGTAAAACTATTATAAGTTAATAAGCAATATGTACTTTTCATGTTTTTAGGCTATTGACCAGGAAAGGAAGCTTAAAAAGAAATTGTTACTGAACGAAGCAAGGAGTATTTTGAAAGCAAAAAATATGGATGTGTAGGTGGAATATATTAAGAAGTTTGATTACAGTAATTTAATTAAGAAACCCCTGATATGAAAAATCCATAGATTACTCTCATAGTAGAGTTTTTTTTGGTTGGACAATCAGAATATGATATTAAATACTATAGTATGGAGATACTTTAGTAATGTATACCATCATTTTCTACACTCCAAATCCTCTCAAGACCTAGGCTAAACAAACCTTTTAAAATCACCAACAGGCACCTCTCTAACACACCAAATTCAAATGCCACCACATTCATTTTTCTCTTCTATACAACATATTTGTTAAAATTCATACATATAATACATGCATGTCTGAATTATTTTTAATTTTTTTTTTTTTTAGGTTATTGATTGCTTCGAAGTTCCAACCAGAACCTTTGCTGATGACTTTAATAGATTTGGTTTTGCCTTCAAGACAAGTTGTTGTCTATAGTCCATTCCGTGAGGTAATTTTTATTGTAAAGCACTAACACGATTGTTACGTTTTAAGCTTCTAAAATTAGGATTATAAATCCAATCTCTGCATGAACAAATATGATTATAATTATAAAACATACTGTGCAATTAAATTTATTATTAAGTACTATATATATTCTTTTTAAATTTTCAGGCCCTTGTAGAGTGTTACACTAAACTGCGTAAACATGGAGGTGTCGTTAATATAAGTATTACAGAGACATGGCTTAGGGAATATCAGGTACTTGAATTTGTCGTTTATCTGATATTATTGAAATTTATCAGTTTTACTTATTCATTTCATATATAATAAGTAGCTCAGCTTAATCAGCTAAACTGGTGATAGCCGCTGAACCGTGAGGATCTTTGCATAATCGTGGTCCCGGTTTAAGTCCATCTCTCTCTGTTTTTCAACTAGAGGGTTGAAATGCAAGTTTCATTAGTGCATCGTCCTTCAGTTGATAACATTTAAGCAATTGAGCTGTGTACAACATGGTACATGTGTATATTAAGGAATAGGCTGACCTCTCATTTTGATCTTGACCTCTCTTCCAGCAAGCTTCCCACACTATGCACCACCACTTCAAAATGATTTATAGGAAGATTTCACAATAATGTTTATATACACTACAGACATTTCAGCTTTGTATAACTGAGCAAGTTGATGTTGCACAATGTCATAATGTTACTGATATAAACAACTTACCATGTTGCCAAAAGTGGCACCAGGTGGGGGAGGGGAGGCAGGGGCTTGAAGGGACCCCACAGGGCCAGCTTGAGAGAAACTTAATTTGTTGGGTAGGAAAAAAAATTATATGTATTTTTTCATATTAAGACTTTAAAATAGATTAAATAAGCCTTAGAAACCCCTAAATTGTCTATACATGGGCAATGATTATGTTTTATATCATGCATTATACTGTTGCACAATATAATGTTAGACACACCATGACATATTAATTGCAAGTTCTATATACAATACAATACTAAAAACATACACAATAGTAAAAATAAACATTTATTTTCCAGGTTCTTCCTGATAGAACTCATCCAATGATGACAATGAATGCATCCGGAGGTTTTTTACTGACTGGCACAACAGTGACTCTAGACCATTGAAACAACCACAGTAAATTTATTGTTTAAACTAAGAGCGAATGTCCTGATGGTTGTGGTGCGGTTGGTAGTCTAGATTCCGTACTGTTAATTTCTCACGTGCCTGAACAAAACGCTTAACTGTGTCTCTCTCCACCCAGAGCATAAATGGGTACCTGGTAGAATTATTTTGAATTAAATTGGTATACAGTAACGCTGACTTAGCTACATCACTACAATATAATAGGAGCTGTCGTCGTGGCTGTTGTGGTGCAGGTTCAGAATTTGGATTCCATGCTGTACGATTCGCTTGTGTCTTCGGGCAAAATATCTATGTATATCTTTCTCCACCCAGAGTATAAAAGGGTACCTGGTAGAATTATTTTGAATGAATCTGGTATACAGCAGTGCTGACTTAGCTTTGAAAACTCCCCAGGAAGTGAAGAAGTTTGCTGTTGTTAATCCAATGTCAAATACTTTTCTCCTTCCTGAATATGACCCAATGAAGGTCTAAAAATTGAAAATCATTGTCTACTCCTACAGAAAATAAATGTATATAGTTAATCTTAAAGTGCTGAGTTCTGTCTTCATTTTGTTTAAATCAGACTAAAGTGGCTACAATTTTCGTTTATCATTATTTTTATGTTGCTGAACCAATTCGTGTTGAGCAAGCGCCCTCACAGTCAGTTGATAGAATTTACTTACCAACCATCAGCTGAAAAAATATGCACCAGGCTTTAGAGAAGAAAACTTGACAGCAGTATTTCTCCTTTGAGTGTAACCCAACAGTTATAATAAAAATATTTACAATGCATTTCTTGATACCCATAATGCACACAGCATAGACAAGTTCATATACAGTATACACATTAAAATACAACCATGCTCTATGGAAAAAAATTTTTAATTTTCTTGAGTAGAAAGGTGCCAAATCATAGCACTCCTTTCTTGATATCCATAATGCGCACACAGATAGATTTCAACCAGTCAAATACTGCAAAAGGAAATGCCCCTTTTCAAAACCCCAATTTGAGGTTCCTGGTCCTGCATCCGTGATCCACTCCACTGGAACATGCTTAGAACCCAATTCAGCATTCCTTCAAAATTGTACCGTCTGTAACCTAGGATCATCTGGGAGCACACTGACTGAGGTAGCACTTCGTCCACAAAGTAAACAAATCATCTCATATTCCTGTGTAAAAATATGCATAATATGTGATTCCTTAAAGAATAGAATGAATTTGTTTAGTTACAGTATTCAAATTTATATAATAATATACCAAGCCATCACATCTTACATGATCGCTGTCCAAATCAATGAAACTTTCCTCTCAGCCCCACCCCCTTTTTTTTTTTATTGTTGCTAAGGTACTACAAATTGACAGTAGTTAAAACCATATTTCTGGCCCTGTTCTGATTGGTCAGTTAAGTTTGATTGACACACTGGAAAGGTCCATTCTATATCTTGTTGCTGGTATTATTTGTTTATAAAACAATGATCCTATTTTCACCTACTATAGAATACACAATCATAATTTGTTTATGTTTTAATGCTCATCAAAAATTATTAGTGAAAAGCCTTTTAAGTTTCTTTCACAAACAAACTGAAGTGAAAGTATGGTGAGTATGTTCATGCTAATTGTTAACATCCATGCACTGATGGATAAATGCATGATAGATAAACC